AGGATACTTCTTGGTGATTCCTTTAAACCCTTAACACAAGATGGAAATACGAAGTACCCTAGAGGGCAGCACCCACAATGGCCACAAGATGTCGCTTTCTGACAACCTCTTCCTCAAAGAAGGAAGAGGGTGGGGAGAGGGTAGTGTTGATCATATGTTGATGTAATACCCAGAAAGAAATATCCATTCGGATATGGAGTAACTGATGCATATAGATTAACAGGGATTCCCTTTTAATATCCCTAAACTTAAAACATTAATCTTTCCTTCATTTTCTTCCCCCCCCTCCCCCAAGCAACCCTGAGCATGTTAGTACCAGTGCTGACGTGGGACACCAAACCAAATATTTTCCATCATTACCTTTCAGTTTTCACATTCAGTGGGATGATCCTGACTATGTATTCTGACTCCTACTTTACAGATGAGGAAACCGAGGCCCAGAACAGTTGTCATCAGCAAATGAAATCCAGTGGCCAAATTTTTTGACGCCCAACACCCCAGCGGTGGCTTCTACAGCCTGACCCTCCATTATTGTTCATTATAGAAGTAGCTGAGGGCAGGATTTGATCATTTTTGCTTCTTGGAAATTAATTTAAAATATTTTATACTAAACTATTTGATAAGAGTTCATACTTTGGCTTATTAAATAAGGCTTCTGAGAAAACTTGTAGGTGCTCTAAGCTACTCTGAGCCGTTTCTGGGATGAGTTCCCAAAAGACCTCTCTGCTATTAAGGTGTATGTGGGTTTGCTCATGCTGCAGTCACAAAGCCCAGACTGTGTGGATGAATATCAAAAATTGATTCATTCACAATACTACGGGCTGGAAGTCCAAGATCAAGGTGTCAGCAGAATTGGTTTCTTCTGAGGCTTTTTTCATTGCCTTGTAGGTGGCCCATGGCTTCAAATAAACCTTTCCTCCTTTAACTTTGGGTGTTAGGTATTTTGTCTCAGCAACAAGAGAAAAGTAACACACACACAAGTCACACACAAACTTACACACTTAGGGAAACAATCCAATAGCATTATTTCAGAATTAAAAGATTATTAAAAGAATAGTTGTGTGACATTCCACTAAGTCATCTGACTGTGCTATCAGCATTTATGAGAATTTTATTGTACTTGAAGAAAATCACAGTAAGCTATATTCCCAGGAACTTTCCCTCTCTCTCTCTCTCTCTCTCTTTCTCTCTCTCTCAATAGGATGTCACTAAGATGCCTAGGCTCAAATTTAAAGTCTTCTTGGCTCAGCCTTCCAGAGTATTGGAATTAAATGAGTACACCACCACACCTGGCTTGAAAATCTTTTTAAAATTTATTTATCTAAATTCTGTACATATGTGAGAAATACATGCTAATTATAGTGGCAATAACTTGCACCTAAATAGAATAAACTTTTAATCTGTTTGTTAAGAAACTCAGACTTGATGACTCCAGAAAGAATGGCTACCTTCAAGAAATCAACCAATAACAAATTCTGGAAAGGCAGTGGGGGAAAGGAACCCCTCTTCTTTGTTGGTGCGAGTGTAAACTGATACAAACACTAAGGAAATCAGTATGGAGACTCCTCAAAAAACTAAAAGTAGAAATTCCATTTTACCCAGCTATTGCCTTTCTGGATATCTTCCCAAAAGAGTTAAAGGTATCATACAACAATGATGCATGGATACTCACATTTATAGCAGCACAATTCATAATATCTAAATCTTGGAAACAGCATACCAACAGATGAATGGATAAAAAAAAAAGTATTTATACCCAATGGAGTACTACTGCCATAAAGAAGGACAAACTTGAGTCATGTGTAGGAGGAACACTGTAACCATTTTTAAGTGCACAATTCTGTGGCACTAGCTATATTCACAATGCTGTGCAACCATCACCACTATCCATTTCTAGAACTTTTTCATAATTCCAAACAGAAACTCTATATCCTTAGAATGGACAAAGAAAATGTGACAGATACAAAGATAGACAGATAGAGAGAGATGGGTAGCAGGATGGTGTTGGTCAAAGGATACAAAGTTTCAATTATGAAGGATGAACAAGTACCAGAGATCTACTGTATAACAAGTTGCCTGCAGTTAACAATACTTTATTGGATACTGACACTTGTGCTATCAGGGTAGATCTTATGTATATTGTTATCACAAATAAAGAGGGCAAAAGGAAACTTTTGGAGGTGATGTATATGTCTATGGCATTAGGTGATGGTTTCACAGGTGTATACTCATCTCTGAATTCATTAACATGGATGCATTAGTTTTGTATGTCAATCATACTTCCATAAACTTCTTTTAAGAGAAGAAATTCTGTGCCTGTGCCCATTAAACAATAAATCTCATTCCTCCCTCCCTCCAGGTTCTGGTAAGCTCTATTATCCTTTCTGTCTCTGAATTTTATAGTTCTAGATACCTCATAAAGTGGAATCACACATCTGCCCTTTTGTCTGGCTTATTTCACTTATCATAATGCCCTTAAAGTTCACCCATTTTGCAGCACATATCAGAATTTCATTCCCTTTTAAGGCTGAATAATATTGCCATTGCATTATGTTGTGGCTTCACTTTTTGTATGTCATTCTCTTAGCTACCCAAACTTTTATTTTCATAATTGGTGCTAATATCTAAATGTTGGTATCCAAAATTCACATGTTGAAACCTAATATCCACTGCGACAATATTATGAAGCGTGACTTTAAGGAGATCATTAGGTCATGAAGGTGGAACTTTCATGAGTAATATTAGTGCCCTTATAAAAGAAGCTTGAGCGAGACTGTGCCCCTTCTGCTTTGTGTGGACACAGAAAAAAGGTGCCATCTTTGAAGCAGACAACAAATTCTTGCCAGACATTGAAACAGCTGGCACTTTGATCTTGCCAGTTTCCAGAGCTGTGAACATAAATTTGTTTATAAATTACCCAGTTTAAAGTATTTCATTATAGCAATATGGATGGACTAAGACAGATGATATAAGGTAAATATGGAAAATAAATGTTTTCACCAATTTGAAATTCTAATTTTACCCTGTAGCCTAATACCAGGCATTCTCCATGGGGCAACTGTCCCTAAGTGGGTGAAATTTTTTTCTTGAGGTACAAAAACTCTTACAAATAAAGCAAACCTACACATGCTGTATATAAACAGATGTATTGTATGTATATCTGTCATCTAGCCCTTTTTATAACTTGTTTATCAATTTCTCCTTTTCATAGTTGGATGCTTATTTTTACTAAATAATACAAGCATTTAAAGATATTAAATTTCCAGCCAGTCATGGTGGCGCACATCTATAATCCCAGCACTTGAGATTGAGGCAGGAAGATCACCACAAGCTAGAGGCCAGCCTGGACTACATAGTGAGTTCAAGAGCAGCCTGGAATACATAGTAAGACCCTATCTCAAAAATCAAAGTGGAGTTTGATCCCCAGGACCAAAAAGACAAAAATCAAAGTGGAGAGCCAGGCATGGTGATGCACGCCTATAATCCTAGCACTTGGGAAGCTGAGGCAGGAGGAGCACTGCAAGTTTGAGGCCACCCTGGGCTACACAGTGAGTTCAGGGCGGCTTGAATTATAAAGCGAGACCCTGCCCCCCCCAAAAAAAGTGGGGGGATGCAACTGAGGTTATAGCTTGGTGAGAAGGCTGTAGATTCCATTCCCTGTACTGGGGGTGCGGGGAGACATTGCATTTCCTATGAGAACATCAGCCACATCCCATAATAGCTTTTCACAGTGACTGCTGGGTAGCAGGTACTAAGATAAGTTCTTTTTTTTTTTTTTTTTTTTTTCGTACCGGGGATCAAACTCGGGACTTGCCGCTTGCAAGGCAGGCAGCGGAACCACTGAGCTAAATCCCCGGCCCTAAATTCCTTATAAGTCTGATGTAATCCTCACTTCAAGCCTATGAGACATGTGTTAATTTGTTTTACAGTATTGGGCACTGAACCTAGGGCGTTGTGCATACTAGGCAAGTGCTCTACCACAGTGCTACATCCACTGACCTTTTTATTTTTATTTTGACATAGGGTCCCACTTGGTAACTTGTCCAGGGAACTGGAACTTTATATTCTCTTCCCTCAGCCTCCAGAGTAACTGGGATTACAGTCATGTGTCACAATGCCCAATTCAAGGTAGGTATTATCATTACCTTTTTACAGATGAGAAAACTAAAACTCAGGAAAGTTAACCTACCTAAGGTCACACAGTTACTAATCACTAGCACTAGGGCCGGGGATTTAGCTCAGTGGTTTGGCTGCCTGCTGCACAAGCACAAGGACCCGAGTTCGATCCTTAGTACCAAAAAAAAAATAATAATAATAATCACTAACACTAAAATTCTGATACTGGAGTCAATATAACTCCAATGATAAGGCACTCAAGTGCTGAATTTTGACACATAGTTTTAATTGTCTTCCATTCTCCCTATCAAATAGTTTATAATGGCAGCGTATCTCCCTTTTACCAGTTATTAGGTAACTTATTTTTGGTTCCAAGAGATTAGAGTTTGTGATTAACTTTTTGATATTTTCAAATTTCACGTACTGTAGCTAGGTATTTTCAAATTCTATTTTTTGGAAATCAAAAATTTATTTTTGACTTGGAACACAATATAAAAGAAGTCAATTTTATCAATTTTGATCTGCTTTATTTTTTGCTGTTACTTTATTGTGAATCTTCCACAGGCTAAAAGTGATATGTAAAAATCTCCCATTTCGATTTATTTTCCAGTTTTCCGTGGTGTTAACTACTATAGAATGTATTATAGAATCTCTTTGTGGTTTCATCTTTTTGCCTTGAGGGCTATTTTATTGGTCTTTAATTACAGCTCACATTTATTGAACATTTATTGGGCCCAATCCCCTGTATTAACAGTTTCCCAGTTATTATTTTACCTAATTATTAAAACAATTCCAGGGGTATACAGGTGTGGATCCAAGTTTTGTAGGGACTGAAACTTTTAAAGGGCCGTCTTAGAAAAAAATATAAAATTATAAACACAAAATGAAGCACGATGATGAATATTTATTAAGAAATGAAAAGATAAATAACAAAATTAAGAGATCTTTTCACTTATAAGAAATTCTTCCTGGTTTCAACCTCCCCACCTAGAATACTACAATCTCAGAGTTCTGGGCAAGTTTAATTTAAAGCTCATTTGCTTCACCGTAAAATCTGCCTGGCGTCGGGGTAAGGAAGTAGATGTTACAATTAACTTTTTATAGACAAGAAAACTAAAGTTGAGTAAATAGCTCAAGGATTGCGTTGGAATCTGAACGTCATGCAAACGGACTCCAGAATTCTAGCCTTTTTACCCTACCTGCTTCCAATTATCACCCTTGGCCGTGCGGGACGATTTAGTTAAGGACTGCGGAGGGGAGACGCTAAAAAGTAACAGGAGAGACCGAAGAAAGAGGAGTACGAGGGTGAAGCCCCTTGGAAGGTAGTCCAGAAGGGGCTGCACAGCCATGCTTGGGAGGGAAGTGGAGAAACTTAAGGGGAAAAAGGTAAAATTAGGCAGGAAGTTGAGAAAGTCAGAGACCTAGTGCTTTCATTTCCAAAACGTACCGCACCCAACCAGACACGGGCGTGTCACTGAGTTGCTGCAGCGCAGCGACCGCCCCTCGACGCCCGATGGGCCATCAGTATAGGGAGGAGGCGAATGGGAGCCGGGGCCGAGGCAGAGGAAGCAATGCAGTCTCTGAGGCGCTGAAGAAACTTCACTGCGAAAAAGAGGTATAGGGGACCCTCAAGCCGCGCCCGGAAGTGGGGCCCGGAGCCAGACTGCCCTCTCAGCCAATGGCCCCGTGATGAGCAGTCGGACGGTGGCCCGCACAGCACCTGAAAGGAAAAGACGTGAGACTCAAGAGCCAGTAGAAGGCGCCATCCTTCTGCGTTACTATATGAGCTACCACGGCAGTGTGGCCAAGGGCAGGGATCTCTTCCTGAATCTTTCCAGTGGTTAACTTATCTCAGAACCATCGCATTTTCTACCTGAGTCGTGTCTCAAACACACACCACAGCTGCCCTCAGCAAAGATGGCTGACCCGGCCAAAGGAAAAGCCGGATGTGGGCGGGCCTGGGAGAGCCGGGGAGGGCCAGGCGGGGTGGGGGCGGGGCCGGCGTTTGAAGGGGCGGGGCCATCCACCCCCAACCTGGGTTTATAGTTTATTTATTTATTTTACTTTAGACAGGATTTCGCTGAGTTGTTCAAACTGGGCTTAAGCTTGCGACGTCCTTGCCTCGGTCACCCAGAATGCTGGAATTACAGTCTTTGATACGCAAACGCTGCCGCCACCCGGGTCCCTCAGTCCTCTTCTGGGGGCGGGTCCACTGCTAGTTCCGCCCCCGCTCAGGTACCTATACCTCTGGTAGGTGCCCGGGAGTCTCAGGGATCTCGGCCCTGCGGTCAGGCGGGCCCCTGGTCCCTACATGGTCCCTGGCTACCAGCAATGAAGGGTGCCCAGGAGGACGTCCCTGGGTCCGAAGAGCCTGTGGACTCGGCCCGGAGCCCCGAGGTGGGGCCTCCTGAGGAGTCGGAGGACTGTGCTCGGTCCCCGGAGGCGGCCCCCAAGAAACTTTGTGGGTATTTAAGTAAGTTTGGTGGTAAAGGGCCCATCCGGGGCTGGAAAACTCGCTGGTTCTTTTACGACGAGAGGAAATGCCACCTGTATTATTCGCGGACAGCGCAGGATGCTAATCCCCTGGACAGTATCGACCTCTCCAGTGCGATCTTTGACAGCAAGGCGGACGCTGAGGAGGGGACTTTCGAAATCAAGACCCCCAGCCGGGTTATCACCTTGAAGGTAAATGGACCGCTTTGCTGGTCTTCAAGTGAGATGCATACGCAGTTCTCAGGGCACAGCAGGGCACAAGTGTGTGGTCACTGTAAATGGACTGAAACAGGGATCCCCAACTTGGGCCCAGAGCTTTGTGCTTTCCAAAGCCCCTTCACACCCATTTACTCATTGGGATTCCAGGGGCAAGGACGAGGGACCCATTTTGTGGATCAAGAGACTGAGCCATAGATGACGTTTGTGGCCAGAGGTCAGGCATTTATTGTGGTGTAGTCTTTCTGCTTTCAGTGCTATATCAAAACTTTGACTTTTGGGTGTGCCTAACTCCATAGTTACCTTAACTTTCCTTCTTGGACTGAAGTATAATCAAGATACCATCCTTGCAAACCTCAAGAGTAGGATTCTGATTTACTTCTTAATATTTTGGCCAAGGGGAGTGAATGCTGACATTGGCAGAGATTGGGAAGATAAACACGTAGGTTTTCACTGATCGGCCTTGATTGCTCATTTGGGCATGTCTAAACTAGTGAGCAATTAGGGTTTGTTGAATGAACACACATGCACAATTACGGTTATGGAACCGAGGCCACTTAATTGGAAAGAGCTCTAGACTAGGAGTTCTATGGACCTCAGAGAAGCTATGCAAAGATACAGCCTCACTTCCCCATTCTCATCTGACTCTTCCCGAGCCTGCAGCTAACTAGGCATCTGTGAACACTCACGATTTTGTGGGGCTTGGCTAGTGAGTAGGCTGAGGGACTCACTCGTTAAAATAATGGAAACCAGGAAATTCAGACCAGGAAAGGCATTTTGGAGATCATGTAGTTCCTGGATTCTGTGTCTCCTTTCATAGATTGAGGGCTGTGTACAGGGTTTCCAATGTGTGGCTTTTACTATGCCATTGATCCATGCGTGTGTCTGGCTTTGTGCTAGGCTCTGGGGTGAGGAGCTAAGTCAGTCCTGCCCCCTAACTCCCAAATAGCTTAAGATATGATAGGCAAGACTGATGGAGGAAATGGTAGTCACAGTAAAATATCCATAATGACTGTGATAAGTCTGCATAAGAAAAGTGTGTGGCAGGAGGGGAGGCTGGCCAGAAAAGCATTGCCTGAGTCTTGAAAGAAGAACTAGGTTTTTGACAAACAGACAAGAGGGAGATGGGTGCTCCAGGCCAAGAGAGCCCTGGGAGCAAAGATAGAGCATAAGTGTCCAGGCACCTTAAAGGAATCTGGGACATAGGCAGGGCCCCAAATGATGGAGTTGGAGGGCAGAAGAGGAGGTGCATTTATGAGTTAGGCTAACAAGCTTGGACTTTGCCTGGTAAACTATGGAAGTTGTCTTAAGAGCCTTAAGCAAGGAAACAGTGAGATTAGAATGTTTAGAAAACTCAGTCTGACTATTGGGTAGAGAACAAATTATGGGAAAGGGAGGGTGGTAGTCAGAGAACCCACTAGGAGATGATCTGGAGGGAATGATGGCTGAGCTCAAGCCATTGCCCCTGGAAGGAAGGCAGATGGCAGTGGACAGGGATGGTAGGGAAGTTGAATATGGTAGAGATGTCAGGAATGGCCTGAGTACTGTCTGGTTACCTGGCTGGGTCACTCACAAGAGGGGAACTCAGGATGAGAAGCCCCCCACAGAGCATGGTCCTCCTAAGTAGAATTAAGTCTCAAGAGTATGTGTTGACTCACCATGGTATCTTCCAGTGCCCATCATAGTCCCTGACCCATATGATAGGTGCTCAAAAATGGATTATATAATAAAACAGAGTATTTGGGTTTTGCTGGAATTCATCAACTTTAACATCATAGTGAAGCCCTGGGAAGTCCCTCAGGGAAAATTTACAGAAAGAGAAAACTGGTGGGCATCATTTGATCTTACTGATATCTACATCACAGGTGAGAGCCTCTTGCATGGAGCCCCATCCTAGGTTATGCCCCATCTGTGACCCTCTTGAAAGGGAGAGTTTGCCCTGGTTGCCAAATAGCCTGCTTTTCTCATGTGGCCTTGATCATAGGCTCTGGAGACTTACCATCTGCTCCCAGCGAGTTGCCCATCCTCTGTGTTCATGTCAGCTAATTTTATGCCTTCTATACGTAAGCCACAAATCTGGCCATAAATTACAGCAAAGTTCAGATCTAGGAGTAGGTGATTAGAGGTGTGGGACCAGTTCTGCAACCACAGTTCTGTAGAAAGACCAGTTCACTCCTGCCTTGCCTCTTTCCTGGAGGATCCAGTGAGCTAATGGATGTGAGAGTGGGTGTTTGAACCATCTAGTACTGGGAAACTAATGACCAGCCTCAACTTCTAACTCGTTTGCAGTGCTGGATCATGCAGAAGGTGCTACCATGTTGTCAGAGTGTACATGTGACTTTCCAGTCCCCATTCATATCTGATTTCACTGCATCCCCCCCAGCAGGAGGGTTTACCTCCATTCCACCAAAAGACAACTAAGACTTGCAAATGTCAGAAGGAGAGAGAGAGAGAGAACACACCATGGTGCGCCCAAAGTCAGAATTCCAAAGTTCCTTCCCTTTCTACCTAACATCTATTCTTCCGGCCAGTGAGCACATTTTCAGTACTTGTCATGTGTCAGGTACTGTGCTAGGCACTTTATTTCTCCTGTCTCACTTCACCCTCATAACCATTCCATGAAAGGCTATTATTGTCACTATAGCACAGATGAGGAAATGGAGGCTCAGAGAGGTTAAAGAACCTTTGAGTGGGTGGCCAGGGCCTGATTGTTTTCCATAGCCAAGAAGCATGTGGTGTTTCAGAGGTGGGTGCCAACCCACACCCTCCCCTCATCCTACACCCAGTGCCACCCTGCAGGCACAGGACCTTGCCAACTAATCTTTGTGCTTTTCAGGCCACCACCAAGCAAGTGATGCTGTACTGGCTGCAGCAGCTGCAGATGAAACGCTGGGAGTTCCACAGTGGCCTGCCTGCACCTCCTGCTGCCCCTGATGCTGGCCCAGCTGGGAATGGGCCTGTCCTGCACCTCGAGCTAGGTACCCACAGTCTGGCCTTCTGCCACATACCAGAGCTCTGGTGGCCAGGCCTTTACCCTGCTGTTGGGAGCAAGTGGGACAAGCACTCTGCAAAGGAAGCAGAGAGTCAGGGTTATGGCCTAGGGTTAGGTAGGGCAGGAATACGGGCTCTGATGCCCAGCTGGCTGGGTACAAATCCTAATTGCATGTGATTTTAGCAATTTGTTTAACCTCCCTGAGCTTCGGTTTCCTTCCCTATAAAATGAGAGTAATAAATTACGTCTACTTTTCAGGGCAATCATATGAGGGTTAATACACCTGAAATGTCTAGAACAATGCCTGCACATTGTCAGAGCCCAGTAGACATTAGCTACTGTGATGATAGCAATCATGAAACAGTCCCAAGAAATAAAGCCTGCACAAAGTTGCTGTGAGGATTCACGTGAGAATGTAGTGTTGTAGTGGTTTCATCTATAAATGCTTTTATGCTGTGAGTTGGATGCATTCATGATTTTATCCCTATGGTTTTAAGAAAACAGAATCCTTTGCACTCCTTGACCTACAGTGGAGGTTTCTTTTGTTTTGTTTTTTGCAGTACTGAGAATTGAGCCCAGGCCTCTCACACTGACCTATATCCCCAGCCCTTATTATTTATTTTTATTTTCAAACAGGGTTTTTGTTTTGTTTTGTTTTGTTGAGACAAAATCTCACTATGTAATTCAGGCTGGCCTTGAATTCACTATGTAGCCCAGGTTGGCCTCAAGCTCTTGTCAATCCTTCTGCCTCAGCCTCCCAAGTGCTGAGACTATAGGCATGTGCCACCACACACAGCACCTCCTGGACCTCCAAACCTGAGTGAATCTGCCTTTGACTCTTTCTTCTCCCAGTTCCCTTCCCTCAGTAGGTGGCCCCCCTGTACCCAGCTGCTGCAGTGACTAGAAGTCACCTGCCACCCTCCCTCAGTCTCAGCTGCCCAGTCCAGCCAGGCTCCACACTGGCCATTCTTGCCCTCTGACCCACACGCCAGTCCCAGGCCTTCCTCCCTGCTATTGCATGGGTCAGATCTCATCTCTCAGCTGGAAAACCACAGCAGCCTCCTCACCAATATCCCCATGTCCAGGCCTCTGCTTGAACCTTTCCTCTCACTACAGCCTGTGTGAGCTTTCCAAAATGAAAACCTAAGCTTGTCACCCTCTCCCCGGTCACCCATCACCAAGACAGGTTGGTTGTAGCTCCATGCGCGATGCATAGGGTTTGTCCCTCCTGGTCACACTCCTGTTGGTTCCCCCAGCTCCCACTTTGTGCCTATGCTTAAGCAGCACCAGGTGAAGCTCTGCTCTCCTTCCTCCTTGCCCAGAAAATTCCTTCTGTTCTCTAAGGTAAAGCTCCAGTGTCACCTCCTTATCTTGTCAATCTTCTCTCAGATACCTCCTGAGACTTTGTCAACTGGATTCTTCATGGGCTCTTGACACTTCAAACATTGCTAAGGAGCCTTGTCACATTGTTTTCTGATTACCAATATCCTTGTCAGTCTCCACCCACTATCCCTTAAGGGTAGGGTCATTTCTTTGTCCCTTGTGCCCCCAGTCCTTGGTTCTCTGCCTAGCACATTGGATATTTATGGAGGGAATGTGTGAGTGAATATATTGAGCTTCATGATTGAGGAAAGGAATGTAAAGTCCATAGCATAATGTCAGGAGCATAGCAAGTGCTTAACACACAGTAGCTGTCCTAATAATGCACACATGCATATATACATATGTATGTCATTTTCATATATTTTTGCTATTGCTGTCATAATAGAACATACATGCATATATGTCATTACTATCATAATAGTACATGCATATATGCTATTACTGGTGCAATAACTACTTCTTTAATTGTTACTAATAATTTCTTCAGGATCCTTCCTTCCTTCCCTCTCTCCTTTTTTCCTTCTCTCCTTCCCCCACCCCTCTCTTTCTGACTAGGCCCTGCTGTGTTGCTCAGGCTGGTCTCAAACACACAATTCTCCTGCCTCAGCCTCCTAAGTAACTGGGATTACAGGTGAATACCACTGCATCTTTGGGCAGCCTTTTGTTTTGGGGTTTTTTGTTTTTGTTTTTAAATTTTTATTTACTTATTTCCCAGTACTGGGGATCGAACTCAGGACCTTGCGCTTACAAGTCAGGCACAGCACCACTAAGCCAAATCCCCAGCCCCTGGGCAGCCTTTTGAAGGGTTTCTTTGCACCCACATTTCTACTACACCCCTACTTCCTATCTACCAGGCAGCCAGGCAACTCTGGCTATGCAGAATATTGTAGCATGAGTTGATGAAATTGCCAAAGATCAGCCTCAGACTAGAAACAAGGAGAAGCCCTCTTTCCTGTGTGTCCTAAAGTATACTTTGAAGAACAGCATTGTGAGAAGCATGGTGCTAGGGTCTCACAGCCTTTTGTGCTATAGCAAAGCTGATATGAGCTCTTTAATTTTGTAGCTTTGCATCAGCACACATGGCCAGGCCTGTTCAGGGCCAGCCTTACTGTGGGGTAGGGGGTGGTTGCCATAGAAATCAGGGCACTAGTCTCCCGGAGGACACAGCCATGAGACTCGGGAAGCAGAGGTATGAGCCTCCTGAAGCCTTTCTTTGCCCCACAGCAAGCCTGCTTTTTCCCAGACCCACAGCCTGAGCAGAAGTCTTCCCCACACCCTCCAGAAAGACATTTCTGAAGTGTTCAGCAAGCTGGCAAGCCCAGAATTAGCTGCCTGGAAACAGACTGCCCCACCTCTCAGCCTCCGCCCTTCCTGAGGAAGCAGAGGAATGCATGATCCCCTTCTGACTTTGAGTCAGAGACAGTGGCCTATAAAAAGTGTTCCATCATTGCCATTGAGCAATCTCCAAGGCAAGTTCTTGTCAGCTCTTTAGCATTTACAAAATTATTTTATACTTTACTTAAATAATGGTCTCTACAGAGCCAAGAAAAATCAAAAGGAAATGAACAGATTTATAATAATAATAACACATTGCTAAAGTAAGCTCAATTTACAGAGAGCTTTTATATACTTCTATCTTAAAAAATATGCATACAGTTTACTGATGCTTCTCTATCAGTTGATGTGTGTTATTTTACTTAATCCTTATGACAATCTTATGGGTGTTATTCCCATTTTATAGTAGAACAAACTGAGGCACTCTAACAAGGGAGTGTTTGCACTGATGTTTAAATTAGCAGACTCAGATCCTTCTCCCATAGCTGAGGAGGCACTCAGGCCTCTGTCCAGTTACCTCCAGGGAAGCAGTGACCTTCTGGGTCAGGCCCTGTTTTGTGTAGACTTCTTCCCATTTGTGGTGGGACAGACCTAGGCCTCAGGCAAAAGGAAAGTTTTCAGTGAATGCTTCTGGATATATGCTTATAGTCACCTACTGAGGACCTTTCTCCTGGCTAGAGGGGGGCCAAAGACCTGAGTCATGGATTCTGTGTCCTGTGGGAAGTGCTAACCTCAGCTGAGGCATGGCCGTCATGTGTGGCCCATCCCTTTTTGAGAACCTCTGCACTGCCTTGTGGCCTGTGACTTGTTGGGCACCCCTCCCATCTTGGAACCATCTGCTTGTTCAAAAAGCTGCCCTTATGAGCCCTGTGGTTTAGTGGGAAAAGCACCATAATTGTGTCACATGCTAGCTTTGACTTTGGCCACAAAATTCAGTCCAAGCTACTCTTTTCTCGTTGGTGAAACCAAGGAGTGATGACACTTAACCCCCAAGACAGTTCTTTGTGGCTTCAGATTAGATCTCAGGCCACAGATTGAAGTTATAGGAGACTAGACATTGGCAGTTAGGGAAGTACTTGCTAAAATATTAAAATCTTGGAAAGACTTATTTTCTGTTTGCTTTGAATAAGGGAGAAAAAGGGTGGTTTAAAGTAATTGATAAAGAAAATCTTAGCTGAGCACTGTGGTACATCCCTATAGTCCCAATTACTAGGAAAGCTGAGGCAGGAGGATTATAAATTCAAGGCTAGCCTGGGCAATTTAGCAAGACCCTATCTGAAAATAAAATTTTTAAAAAGGGTAGGCATGGCTCCATGGTAGAGCAAAAAAACTACTTTGAAAGATTGAAGTCCACATTTATAGGACCTATTGTTTTCTAAACATTTCTATGCACTTTAACTCTGAAGGAGACAAAGTAAAAAGAGTATCCTTCCTGGTTTGTTTGGTTGTTTTTTTTTTTAAATTGTTTCCCAACTGGGTCATAGCACTCTCCCCCATGGAGACAGGGGTTGGTCACAGATCTTCCAGCCAAAGCCAGGTTCATTAAACCTGGCTCCTACCTCAGGCTCCTACTCAGACCCTGGGGGCTCTGCCTTTCCAAGCAAGTGAGGTCCAGTCTCCTAGCCACATCCCCTCCTCTGTGACCTTCCCAGCCCCATCCCCCTAGGTCTTCACCCAAGTGCTCAGCTCTGTCTCTAGAATCCTTTGCTGCCGCCTATACTTAGGCTTTGTAGAGAGATGCGTCCCCACTCCTCCCACAGCTCCAAATTAGCTCCAGTGCCCCTCTCCAGGAAATTTCTGGCTTGATTTGAAAGGACTCTGTCTCCACCTCCCAGAATGGCCCCTGCCCCAGTTTCTGCCCACCTGGCTCCTGAGGTGTGCACTTCTTCCCTTTGCCTGTTTCTTAGGCTGTTAGCGTCCTACAGCTTTGAGTCATACTACTTTCTCCATCCCCACCTGGAGGCCCCAGGGTAGACACCTGGTCTGAGCTTGGGGAGGGTTGAAGTGAAGACCTCAAATGGATAGCTTTTGGTGTTGCCAATTAGTGGATGACCTGCACCATCCCATGGAGCCTATTAAGAATTAGCAAATGTAGGGCCAGGGATTTAGCTCAGTGGTTCTGCCACTTGCCTCGCAAGCTCAAGGACCCGAGTTCGATCATTGGTACCGAAAAAAAGAATTAGCAAATATATTGTTCACTGCTGTTTGAATGATTACAAAGTATTTCTTGAGAAAAGATGCAACAAATCCCCTGACCCCCACCATTGTATTTAATGTTTTAGCATCCATACCCCTCTTTCCAGATATAATGTAAAAATAAATTTCCTCCACCTCTAAATTTTTTCACTCAATAAGAATATTCCAAATGAAAGGTGTGTGCTGCCATGTAAATTTCTTGATTAGTCAAGGACATTCCATCCCTTAAATGGTCCTGGTTCTTTTCCAGTTTTTGTAACACTTCAAAGTAACCTTTTTTTTTTTTTGAACCAGTGATTAAACCCAGGTCCTGGTGTGCTTACTAAGCAAGTGCTCCACCAGTGAACTGCACTCCTAGGCCTATTTATTTATGCTTTTTTGAAACAGGATCTCACTCTGTGGTCCAGGCTGGCCTGGAATTTGCAATCCTCTTCCTCAGAAGAGGCTGGAAATTCCAGCCTCCTGAGTGCATGGATTATAGGTGTGCACCACCTATACTCAGCCCCTATATCCTTAAGCATTCTTCATTAACATTAGTTTACATCATTGAGTAATATTCCAGTCTATGAAGGCATCACGATTTACCTAGCCTAGTCCCAGGTTTTTAGATGTTTAAGTTATTTGTAATTTGAAGCTAAGTAAACAATGCTGGAATGAACCCTTTAACACATGAAATTTTCTCCGCATTTTAGACTTCTTTAGGATGGATTCTCAGTTGTAGAAGTGTCTGCACGTTTGCATATTTTTAAGGGTTTTTCTAGAAGACTGCTCCAGCAAAATGTATCATTACATTGAATGCAGCACATAGAATGAAAAACCCCCTTTGCTGCTATTAATCTGCAAGGCAAGCTTGCTTGCCATGTATCTGGCTGTCCACATCCTGCCTGCTATCAGTCAGGGCTGAGTCTGTAGCCCTGAGATCAGCCTTTCATAGTGCTGCACCAGGTGGATTGATCATCCTGTCTTTGGCTCCCTAGAGCAAGAGGAGGCGGAGCTGAAGGAGTTCCTGTGCCCTGTGAAAACGCCCACTGGGCTTGTGGGTGCCACAGCTGCCTTCCAGCCAGTCCCTGCCATGCCCCTGGGCCTTCAGAACATCTCCATCAAGCACTTGGGAACTGAAATTCAGTAAGTGCTGGTGGGCTCGAGGGGCTGGCCAAGACCCCTGCTACCCATCTCTGCAGAGCTTCACCTGGTGCTGTTCTGCAGGAGGGTTGGACTGGGCAGAAGTTATGGACTTTTTTTTTTTTTTTTGTACTGGGGATTAAACTTGGGACCTTGCGCTTTCGAGACAGGTGGCGGAACCACTGATCTAAATCCCCGGCCCTATGGACTTATTTTTAATTAATGATGTTATCACTTTAAAATGTCACATTGGTTATTCTGATCAGAAAGGTATCACATGTTCATTATACGAAAATTAGAAATCTCTGGAAAGGAATGAATTAAAAATTACCCATAATCCAGACAAACCTTAGAAATTGGTATATCTCTTTCCTGTACATTTTCTATGTACAATGATGCCTCAGTTCATGAACTTAATTTGTCTACAGTTTTGGGAAAGACACATTTGTCTTTGTGTGGGAAAATGGCTGCAGTCGTGTTGTCACCCAATGCAGAGTTTGCAAACAAAATTTTGTCAAATACTTCTGTTTGCAAGCCTAATTATTTGCAAACAAAAGTATTTGTGAACTGAGGTGCTACTGTACATGTATACAAAATTGAGATACTGAATGGAATGGCATGTGATGCTTTCACAAATGTCTACATATATGAAACACATCAAATTACTCACTTTCTCCTTTACTATGTGCAATATGTCAACTACTTTTTTATTTAATAATGTATAATATATACAAATGTCCCACTGCCAGGCTTTGTTTTAAATAGTGTATAAAAAAGAACAGCATGGCCTTGACTTTAGAGCCAAATTGCGTAAGTTTGGATCCTGGCTTAAGCAAGGGCTGTGCTACCCACCCTTGGCAAGTTGTTTGCTTCTTTGTGCTTTACTTGATAGTGAATATAAATACAACTGTGCTTGCTCGATAAGGCTATATGGGTGAATACTTTAGAACTGTGCTTGACAATCACACACATGTAACAAATACTGGCTGTGGCTGCCATTGTTGCCCTAGTTGAAAGAATGGAAACCTTCAGGAATTCAAGCTATGCCCAGTACTGATCCTGTTTGGATGTTTATTTTCTGTGTGGACTTTGGACAAACTGGGACCTCTTAGAAGGCAGAATAGATTGCTCACTGGACTAGCATTAGGGACCCATGGTTCTGTGTGACTCAGGCACGGTATATCCCTCTGCTGGCTTTGGTGACTTGAATGAGTAGGAAGGTGGTGATGCCTTTCCCAGGAAAGAAGCCAGTTTTAGATAGAAGAAGATGAGTTCCCTTTGGGACCTGCTGCCCCACAGGCATCTGGATGGAGAAGCCTAAAGCCCAAGAGAGAGAACTAAGCTGGGAGGGTGAGTGTGGACCATGGTTGAACCCCCACAAAGGATGAGTGGACAAGGAGGACCCATGGCAGGGGCTCAAACCCCAGGAGGAGCTCAGGGGAGCTGGGTGCACTGAGAGTGTGGTGAGGGAAAGAGGGGGTCTGAGAAGCTGAGCCATCTGGCCAGCAAGCACCCAGGGCAGGCTTACCAGGATGGAGCTGGATTCGAACCTGACAGAGGTCACAGCCTCAGAAGTGGAACAAAGAATATGCAGAGACCAAGAAAGGAAGGAAGTTTCAAAGCATCACTGTGTCACTTCCCTCCTGTCATTTGTGATAGCCACAGAAGATGTGAGGCAACATCACAAGAGAAGTGCCCTGAGCTGCTGCATGCCCAGGAGAGTGTGGGGAGACCACAGCTGCCCCTATTTCCTGCACTCCTTTGCTGTTTTGCTCCCTGCGGACAGATTGTCCTCAGGGAAGGTATAGGGAACCTCCTGAGCACTGTGCCAGATGCTTTTCGCTGTCCTTGAGGTATAAGAACAAATCTGTGAAGTGGAGTCATCACATGGTCAAGTTCTCAAACCATGGAGTTAGATACCCAGTTCTGATGCTTAGTCCTACCACTTACCAGCTCTCTGGTTTGATTACTCAGCTTCTCAGTATCTCATTTCTGCTCTCTGTCCAGTGGGGCTAATGAGAGCACTTACTTCTCTGAGTAGTTGTGAAGATGAAATGAGTAGAATGCATTATAGTGTTTATCTTAGAAGTTGGCCCAGGGAAAGGCCTGCCTAGGTCTATTGCAAATGAGGAAACTGAGGTTCAGGGAAGATAACTGGGTTGCCCAATGTTATCCCTCCAGAACATGTCTTTATGACAGTCACCTCTATGCTGGCCAGGCCTTTCAGAATTAACCTAACCCTGCTCAGAGAAATGGTCTCTGAATTGCTTCTAGTAAAGACGATACATTTGTAAAACAGAGAAGCATCTTCCAAATACGGTAGTTTAGCTGAGTGATGATAATCTGGACTTGTCCCAGCTTCCTATCCCAGAGGAAACAGATATGTGCTGGGCTTACAAGACCCTTTGCTGCACTGAAGTTGGAGTTTCTGTGCCCTTCCATGCTCCAGGGATGACTGGTCATAAGCCCAGGAACATGTTCAGAGGCTACAGTTCCTGGTAAGGGGGAAGTGTGAGCACCAGTGACAGTCACCTCACCCAGTCAGTGCCTCTGGCTATATTTACAGGTTCCTCTACAATACATGTGGCTGTGGTTTGTGAAATTGTGTAACAGGCTCAGCACAGGATTCACCACAAAATGATGCTCAGTAGCTGGGTGTGGTGGTGCATTCCTATAATCACTTGAGAAACAGTTTGGAGGATCATTGTGAGTTTGAGGCCAGCCTGAGCTACATAGTGAGTTCGATGCCAGCCTGGACTACACAATGAGACCCTGGCTCAAAAACAAATGATATGGGCCTGGGATTTAGCTCAGTGGTGCCACCGCCTGCCCTGCAAGTGTAAGGACCCAAGTTCGATCCCAGGTACCAAAAAAACCAAACAAACAAATAAACAAAAACAAATGACACTAGGGCCGGGGATTTAGCTCAGTGGTGCTGCTGCCTGCCTCACAAGTGCAAGGTCCCAAGTTGGATCCCCGGTATAAAAAAAAACCCCAAAAGCAAATGATATTAGCCAGGCGTGGTGGCACATACCTGTGATCCCAGCACTTGGGAGGCAGAGGCAGGAGGATTGCTGTGAGTTCAAGGCCAGCCTGGCCTACATAGTGAGATTAAGGCCAGCCTGAACTATATAGCAAGACCCTGTCTCAAAAAGCAAACAAACAAACAAAAAATGGTACTTAGTAAATACTAACGCCCATCATGCTCAGTGCTGTTCTTTCCAACACACCTATCATTGTAAGAACTAAAAAGGGAAAGTGACTAGCCCAAGGGGCCTGAGGCCCTTATAATAGGACAATAGTAATAACAGAGCAAAAGGGATCAGAAAGCCAAATTCCAAGGCCAGGTATTAGGAGTACTGAATTTTTATTTCTTCTCTGCTCTTAATTTAACTAATGAATTTTTTCTTTCATGAATCCATAAAAGTACAATCTCATTCTTTTTCTTTTTTTATTATGCACTCAGCTCTACCAAAACACCCGAACTGTTTAAAAACTAAGTTTCAGAGCAAATGGTTCTTCTTTGAAAAGATTGATGTTTATCTAGATGGTTTTTTGTTTTTTTTGTAAAGGAGAAAGTGCAAATTACTAAAGTCAGGAACAAAAGAAGGGACATTGCTACCAACCTTATAGAAATAAAAAGGACTATAAGGGAATAGTATCAACAACTATATAACAACAAATTTGATAAGTTAGATGAAATGGACAAATTCCTAGAAAGACACAAATTACTGGAACTAACTTAACAAGAAATAGAAAAATTGGAATGGACCTAGTAAATAATAAAGAAACTGAATTAGCAATTAAAAAGCTTAGGACAGCTGGCTTTACAGATGAATTCTACCAAACATCTAAAGAGGAGGAAGGACTGCACTTCTGGAGGTGTAGGGTGGGAGTGAATGTTTGCTGAACATCAATCAAATCTATACATTCATCTTCCCTTTTACTCTCGCTTGGGTTTCATGTCCTTTTTCATGTTTAGTTCCTGGGGATTTCTCTTCCTTCACTGGAACTTCAGCTGGGTGTCTTAAAACTATGTTTTGTATTTATCCAGCATCTAAGAGTTTGTGGAATATTGTCCATCCTATTGCTGGTGGTATATATTAAAAATAGAGGTAATATAACAAAGCTGGGGCTTCAACACAGGTCTGAAGACTTTCATATCCCCTTTTTGGGTCACACTACTGTTGCCCTTAAGTAAATCCTCTCCTAGTGCAGTATGTTTCAAAATGTTGATCATGATCACAGTAAGAAATATACTTTTGTTATACCTCAGTGCACATATATGTAATTCAGAAAATATTGACCCTAGCTAGGTGGAATGCACTCTAATATTTTCTGCTTTTTTGTTTTGTTTTGTGTTGTTTGTTTTTTGAGACAGGATCTCGATATATAGTTCAGACTGCCTTAAACTCACCATATAGCCTCGGCTGGCCTTAGACTCATGGCAATTCTCCTGCCTCAGCCTCCCAAGTGCTGGAATTACAGGCATGTGCCACCACACCCGGCTCTCTGCTTATTTTTTATTTTTTATTTTTTTGGTACTGGGGATCGAACTTAGGACCTTGTGCTTGTGAGGCAGGCGGCAGAACCACTGAGCTAAACCCCGGCCCTGTCTGCTTATTTTTCAAATGGTGTCATGACACTGAATAAATTTTATAATCTTCCCAATGGGTTACAACCTGCTGTTTGAAACAACTGACTAGCAAATTCCTTTCTTCTTCTCTTCCCTGCAATTAATTTCATAATGAGTGTGCTTTTACCTCTTTGCAAGGGAAAATAAACTCAATTGACCTGTCTTTCCATCTGGCCCACTATGCATTTTTCTGTGGTGTGTGCTCTTAGGCCAGACTTTGGTGCTACCTAGTTACTTCCTGTATTGAGCCTGGATTCTGGGCACACCCAACCCAGTGCCAGGTACTCAGATCCCAGTTCTTGAAGAAATGACACTATGAGGCTCAGCCTAAATAAGTATTTGAAAAACATGAGGTATAGTAAGCTCCTTGGAAGCTGTGAGGTCAGCAGAGGCTGCAGAGAGGACAGATCTGAGTGAGGAAAGAGAGGAAAGGGAGGCAAAAGTCACAAGATATTTATGACATATCTCAGTGGAACTGGAAGCCACTGGTAGTTCTGGAGCCAGATAGTTATAAGACCAGATGGAGGTTATAGGAACTGTAGTTTGGCAGGCCCATTCAATATTTGTTCAACATATATGTGTGAAGTACCTTGTCTATCTCAGGCACTGTTCTAGGTATGCTAGATCTATCAGTGAACAGAAGGATATTTCAGCAGCAAGGGTAGGGGATGGGAGAGTCAAGCTTATGACAGCAATGGAGTGTGTGGAAGGGGCTAAGAGAAAGAGGAAGGCCTGAGGGCCCAGACTGGTGTGTGTTTTGGGATGCATCATGCAGCTACCTGGGGCATCTCCCTGGCATGAGGCCTGAGCTCCAGCAGAGAGGGCAGAGGGGCTGTCAGCTCACACTCCTCACTTCTCCTTTCAGAAACACTATGCATACCATTCGTGGCAATAAGCACACCCAAGGAACCAGCCTTGGGCTTCTCATGGAAGAGTCTCCGCCAAGTGGGGAGCAGCCCTCAGCCCCTGACTCCAGCACCCCAGGTGAGCCTCTGACCAGATCTGAGTGGCTTCCAGAGAGTAGGGCTCCTGGGCCAGAATGAGTGCCTTCTCTCCTCCCTGCCAGCCTGCATGTACGCGCGCGTGCGTGTGTGTGTGTGTGTGTGTGTGTGTGTGTGTGTATCAGTCTCCTGCTGCTGCTATAACAAAATTCCATGGACAACTCTGTGGGTGAAACAGCAGACATGTATTTTTCACCATCATAAGGAGTCAGGGAAGTCCAAGATTAAGGTGCTGATTGCTTGTCTGGTGAAGGCCCTCTTCCAGTCTTGCTCACATGGCTAAGAGAGCTCTGATCTCTTCGTTCACCTCTACTCCCTCCCCTAAGGTCCCACCTTCTAATGCTGTCACCCTGGGGATCAGGGCTTCAACATAGGAAGGGTGTGGGGCTTCCACAAACATTCAGGTCTCAGTGATGTGTCAAAGGTGAAACTCTCCAGGTCATTTCTGGGTTTCTAGGGGTTAAGGAGCAATTTTTTTTTAGTGTGTTAAAATAAACAAAATTTACTATTTTACCACTTTTAGATGTTCACTGTGGTGGCGTTGAGTCATTCACATTGTGCAATGATCACCGCCATCTATCTCCAGAACTTTTTCATCTCCCCAACTGAGCCTTTAGTCATGATTCTTTAAGTAATAAAGATAAATATTATTCTCATGTTTTTCTTTCTTCCTTACTTTTTAATTTATAAAAGAAAGGGCATAAAAATGCCTTCCTGAGGTAATTAAGCCAAAACAGCATTTTTTTGTTTCAGTCACATGAAACAATATGAGTGACCCACACAATCAAAATGGCTTCCTAGCGACTGACATTGGTGCCCTTAGGACATATTTCACTTCAGAAGTATTGGGAGAAACCTGGCTAAGGCAGCACCTAGAGTCTTCTTATGGCAGACTAAGTGCTCCTTTGGAGCATTGCTCCTCACGAGGCCCCAGAGATCAGAGTGACCGGCCTACAGGAAGGTCCCTACTGTATCAAAGCAATAATAATAATGATAAAACTAGCACTTTCATGGTAGTTGCTTTGTAGCTGGGCTACATTAAGCACTTTTTAGGTAATAATTTTATTAAAACATAATTCATATACCATACCATACAATTCACCCATTTAAAGTGTGTGATCCCTTGGATTTCAGTATACCACAGAGCTATGCAGCCATCACTTGAATCAATTTTAGGATATTTTTATGATCCCGGAAAGAAACCTTATATCCATCCCTTAAGCCATCAGGCCCAATCTCCTGCAACCTATAGCAGCTGGTGATCTGCTGTTTGCTTGAACGGCCTTCTCCAGTGTTTCCTGTGTGTGGACTCTGTAACATATGCTCCCTTGTGACTGGTGCCTTTTAGTTAGCAGGAGGTCTTCAGGTTCCATCCATGCAATTGCTAAGCACTTAACCCATGCTGACCCGATTAATCCTTACAGCAAATGGTACTGTAGACACTGCTCTTCTCCTTGTTTGATAAATGAGGAAACTGTGGCATGGAAAAGTGGACTGACTTGCTCATGGCCACACAGTGAGCGACAGAACCAGAATTCAACCTGAGCCTTCTGGCCCCATACTGCTCCCTGATGCCTCATCTATGTCAGTGATTTTTTTCAAACTATGGATGGTCCTGACTCACAAGAACTCACCCATTGTAAAGTTTCCATCTTTACAATAGTGCAAAAGCAATGTGAAATCAGTGGAAACTTTACCTTGAATTTCAGGGGTTTTTTTCTGAGGATCAAACCCAGGGCCAAGAGTATGCTATGAAAGTGCTCTACCACTGGCCCACACCCCCAGCCCAGGAATTTTGAATTTGGATGGTTTCCCAGGCTTTTGAAGTTTATGACACTCACTCTGGATGTTGGGCGGCAGCAGCAACAAGCTGAAGCTCCCAGTCAGTCACTTAGTCATGAGGGGAAACAACCGCGGTGCACTGTGGTGCCAAGCCAGGATGTTCGGTGAGGTGTAGGTGAGGGGAACTAAATCCTTTTTCCATTTGTGCTATTTTCAACTTAAAATGAGTTTATCAGGAAATAACCCTGACACAAGTTGAGGAGCATTTGTACATCTTTATTGCCATGACACCTTGTCCCCCACTCCCAACACACACTAATCTAATATACAAGGCAGGCAGAAGCAGAGTTGAGCAGGTGCAGGAGTCTGGACTCCTGTGCTCCCCCTGCCCCCCCTCACTCTACTATCAGCTCTGAACAAATCCCACCAAATCCTAGTTCACTGGTTGAAAACCACTAACTCAGGCCTTGCTTTCCCCAGCTATAAAATAGGCACATGGTCCCTCCCCTGTTTGTCCTCAGGGTTCGTGAACAGGCATGTGTTTCAAGTGCTGCAGGACTGCTCCCCTAGACCCTATAACAGCAAAGAGGATGAGGCACTGCATTTTTCTGAGATCCACAGCTAAAGGCCTAGAACAAGGTCCCCAAGGCCAAGAGCTATGGGGCTTCTTTTACCTACTGAAGTCATTCCCTATCTGTTCACCCCAGTCTGGTCTCCAGAAGGAAGACACTTAAGTCATTCAGCCCTTTTTTAAGCCCTCCCTCTCCCCTGTCCTTGGATCCCTTCACATCCTTGTCTTTAACACTTTTAGTACCTAAGTCCCAGAAGGATCAGGGGTAGTTTACCAAAGTACCTATTGGGGGGGGGGAAATGAGTCATTTGAGCTAGGAAGTTTAGATAGCATCAAAATAAGATGTCAGATGCCGCCTGCCTCACAAGTGCAAAGCACCGAGTTCAATCCCCAGTACCCTAAAACAATAAAGAAATAAATAATAAGATGTCAGAGAGTGCCTAACGGTGAGTAGCAAACCAGTATGGTGACACGAAAACCTGTAATCCCACTACCCTGGGAGGCTGAGGGAGGAGGATCACAAGTTTGAGCCAGCCTAGAAAACTTAGTGATTTAGGAACACATTATCTCAAAATAAGAAATTAAAAAAGGACTGAGGCTGGAGATATAGCTCAGTGGCACCATGCCTGCCTGGCAAAGCTCAAGATTCTGAGTTTGATCAAAAAAAAAAAAAAAGGACAGAGGATGTAGCTCAATGCCCTGGGCCTAAACACATGGGGAAAAAAAGTGGGCCACAAATGTGGCTCTGGGCTCTGAGTTTCTCAGCAGCCAAGGCCAAGAGGAGAAATGGAAGTGGCTAGATTATTTCCAGTGTCCATAAGATTAATCACATATTTTCTTAAAAGAAGAAGAGCTTTTTCTGGCATATAAGAGGACTAAGGGGAATTTCTCTGCTGGGGCCTTGTGATGGGTGTGACAGGTATGTCCTGTGTGAACAAGCATCTCCATGTCCCTTGAGCACATAGTCAGGCCACTGAATGTCCTTGATGCAGATTCATGGCAGAGTCCCAAAGCACATATTAGGGGCAAGGTGTGACATGGTGGCCAAGTAGAGTGATTCCCTGATGTTGAATTTAAGAATACAGTTTAGTGACTTGAAGATAGTGCTTGGCAAATGTTTTCTGTAAAGAACCAGATAGTAAATAGTTGAGGCTTGGTGGTCATAGGCTGCAGATATGCAGCTCTCCCTTTGTGAAGTGAAAGCAGCCAAATCTTTGGTCACCATATGTAATCAAATGGGTGTGACTGTGTTCCAGTAAAACTTCACTTAACAAAAAGCAGGCTGTAGACTGGATTTGGTGTGTGAACTGTAGATTGCTGGTGCCTGCTCTTGAAGAAATAAAAGGAAAGCTTTGAGGCAATCAACTGAGGAAAATATGACTCCTAGCCTAGGTGGTAGTAAGAACCAAATTAAACCAGGCATGGTGGCATACACCTGTTTTCCCAGCATTCTGGGAGACTGAGGCCAGCTTGAGCTCAGCTAGGGCAATTTAGCTATTTAGCAAGATCCCATCTCAAAAAATGCTGGGCTGGGTATTTAGCTCAGTGGTTTCGCCACCTGCTGTGCAAGCTCAAGGACCCAAGTTTGATCCCCGGTACCTATATATATATATATATACAAAATAAAAAATTAAAAATGCTGGGGATATACCTCAGTGTGAAGACTTTGGGTTCAATCCTTAGTACCAAACTAATTAATTAATTCAAATTAAGAGTTTGAGCTACTGGGGCAAGAATACAGAATAGCAATATGCAGTCCATGCTCCTAGCAACAGACATATCTGCTTTGAAAATCTGAGGATAGAAATGGTATCCTCAAGTGAGAAATAGGACGTGTTGCAGGGCTGGTGCAGGAGGAGCTGGCCTCCATTAGACCCAGCAGGGTAGGATGAGAGATCCCTGCAGGTCACATGGAGGGAAGGGCACAGGTAGTTTAGGTGGCAGGCTGAATGACTTGGCCAGCACAGTGTGGACAGCCCAGTACATCTCGAAGCATGACCCCATGTCAGCATCAGCTAGGAACTTTGTAGAAATGGAAACTCTGAAACCACTCCATGCCCCCTGAGTTAAAGCCTCTAAGGGGAGGGCCCAACCATCTGTGTGTTAAGACTCCCCCAGTGCTTTGGAAGCAAACGTCTTTGAGAACCATTGGTGTTGATTGTAAGCCCAGCGTCTCTCCTCTTGAACAGGGAAGGAAGCAGCAGATTCTCCAAAGCCTGGACCCAAGTCCTCTCTGCCTGCCAGTCTCCCGCAGAAGAACAAGCGCCAGAGCAACACCTTCCCATTCTTTTCCGAAGGGCTGGTGCGTAACCGGACAGCTCAAGAGAAGGTGGTGGCCTTGGAGCAGCAGGTGCTGGTGCTCACCAAAGAGTTAAAGTCTCAGAAGGTGAGCACTGGCCTCTCCCTGGAGTCCCCAGGCCACAGGGGGCCCCCTGGGCTTGGAGCCTTGTACATAGCTCTGTGTGATATACCAGCCTAGCTGGCTCAGGCTGGTCTCAGGTTGTTAAGGGACCAACTGCAGATTGGAAATGTGCTATTGATTACTCAGGGACATGTTCAAACTAGGTGACAAAAGACCATCAAGGGCAGGGGTCTCTGGAGACCCCCTTTAATAATTATCTTGTGACATGGGTGGTCTAGCCTGGAGAGACATAGGTGATCTAGCCCACCACCCAAACAGTCAATATTTACAGCAGGGATCTGGATGCAGGGTCTTGGGAGGGGTTGCTGAGGAAAGTGGGGGATCTTGAACCTGGCCTGGCAGCTGATTACTGGGTGCAGCTATCTGAAGGACTATCACAAGACAGAAAAAGTTGGCAAGGTTGTGGCCCCAGGGCTGAGGCAAAAGAACACTGATGGATTGGGGAATTTAGACTTAATAAAGTAAGTTTATTTTAGGAATTATAGAACTGCTTCATGGTCATTGTGGAAAACAGATCTCACACACCCAGAGATGTTTACATTGCTCAAAAATTCTATAACCCAGAGAGTGAATTGTGTTTAAATCCAGAGGTCACATGCAAGGGTACAGGAGGGCTGCAACACTGGAGAGAAGCCTCTGCTGAGCACAATAAGAGTGGGGAAATTAGCACAGTTGTTACCATAAACCCCAAGCATGGGGCCCGGGGACGGGGCAGGTTCCACTGAGGGCGGGGGCTCCTCTAAGAGGAAGACCTCAGCTTTGGCTGCCCTGAGTCCTTTTCTGATTCCTTTCCTGGTCTTGGCCCCAGAGGACTCCGGCTGGGGAAGTGGGTGGGTTTGTAGCCTATTTACTGCTGAATCTTCTCCCCCTTGAATATTTCTTGTCCTTTCTGCTCTGTTTTTGGAGAAGACAATCCATAAAAGTGTTTACCTACCTTGTTTTGCCCCTTCTCAGCTTCTCCTGTCACTGTGAGCCAATCTTAGGGGAAGCAACAGAGACTTCACTCTTGGTAGAGTTAGGGTTATGCTTAATGGAGCAGCAAGTGATTCGAGGGGGTTCATTCAATCTCACCAAGTCTTTCCTGAGGGCCTGTTGTGCACATATACTATTTCAGGTGCTGGGAAAAGACAGTGGGCCAAGGACACAGGCCAACCCTACAGGATGCACATTTCATAGCAGAGATAGGCACTGAGTAAATAAAAACCTATGACAGCTCCCTTACATTCAAGGGGAAAGGTCAGGAGGAAGTTATTCAGACCTTTACAAATCTAGATTTTTTTTTTTTTAATTGGGTCATTCCCAGTAAACCAGGATTGTGGCCTGGGGAAGAGGATGGGAAGAATGAGCCTTGTGGTTTAGCCTTTGATTTGGGGCCTAAGTAGACTTGGAGACTCCAGCCATCTCACACATGCACTGCAGTCTAGTGCACTATTCCAAGCACAGGCCTTCATGGGAGATAGCACAGACGCAGATTCTGGCTGGGTGCAAGTCCTGTAACCTCTCTAGCCTGTTTCTTCTTATGTAAATGGAGGTACAACCGTGTTTTCTGGGGAAGCCCATGCCTGACACCCCTGGCTGCCCAGCAGGTTTGGAGTATTACCATGGCATCATGGCCCTCGGTGCTGATTCCTTTCCATCTTCTGAGGGCAAGGTGTTCCCCTGAGTGGCTCTGAGAAGCTGGTGAAGTGCTGTCATCAGAGCGTCCAGGAAGCGTGCTCAAGGAGCCTTAGCAGGGATGCAGGGAAGGCCAGGTCTTCATTCACTTTTGCCCCACCAGCTGTAGGATTTCACCTGTAGCCCAGATACCAAAGCCAGAGGGGAAGGAAGCAGGAAATTGGCTCTTGGCCTTGAGGTGGAGCAGAAGACAGAGCAGAAAATCCCACTCAGCGTCTGGGTAGCTGGTGGTGCTCAGGCACTAGATGTGCTGGGTGTGGAACAGCTTATCCAAGACCCTCAGAGACCAATTGAATAGTGAGAAAAAAGTCCCTGGGCTTTCTGGGGCCACACCTGCAAGGTGCTTTCCTGTGTATTTTTAGTGGGAAAAACCCTCTAGTTTCAGGAAAACATGGGAACAGGTGTCTTGTCCTGGCTCAGCCAGCCAGGTGGTCATTGCCAATGACTTTAGTGACTGTGTAAGAATTTGCCTCTCAGACTCTGTTGCTCTCTGCTATCAGAGACCTCCCACTCCAATGGGGAACAGTAGTACAAATGCAGTAACTACACAGTGTCAAAGCTTTCTGTGCATTGTCCCTAGTTCTTAGGACAGTTACAGGAAGAAGAAATTGAGGGTCTAGGAGCTTCTGCTCAGGGCTCCTAAGAGCTGAGCTAGGGTTCAGCCTCGAGTCTGTCTACCTCTGACCTTTCACCATGCCATGCTTGAGGGACTCAGAGAAGCTGAATCACCTGAGGTTACAGAGCTGGGAAGAGCCAGGACTGACCTGGCTCTCCTTTTCCTTGTCCACTATGTCCAGGATACTCATCACAGCCCAGCTGCCTCTGATCCATGATCTATGGCCCAGTGTCAGACCTAAGCACCGAGACTGCTCTTTGGGAAACATGAGTGACCCTGTGCTCCTTGGTGTAGTATTGAACCCTCATGGTGACTCTGATACCCATTAAGCCATTATCTATCCCAGCACTGCAGTGCTGGCCCCACGGGAGATTTGAACTGCAGGAGGTAGCACCAGATGGCTAGTTGGCCAGGTGACTGGGGCCCTTCAAGCTGACAGACCGCACCGCGCCTGAAGGCTGTCTACTCTGGCAGATGGCAGGCTCAGTCTAGTGGTGGTGGCCATCTGTTGGCTGCCATGAAAGTTGAACCCTTGGGGACCCTGCCTGGGGTTCTCTGGGGCTGCCTTGGCTCACTCAGGATTACTTGGTAAAGGCATATTATTTGTTTAGGAAACTTGATGGGGATAATGTGTGGCCCCTTCTTTATATCTCCAGCCAGAGACTTCAGAGTATGCACACACACACACACGCACACACCATGAGCCCTAACACTGTGGAAGGAGGGTTGGGAGGCCCCTTGGCCGTTAAGCTTGGAGGGGTCACTCCTGGCACATTTTCTCTCTCATCTTTGAGGCAACTCTGCACAGAATAGGGGTCTTTGTCTCCATACTAATTATGAGAAAGCTGGGGCTCACTGAAGTAACCAGCCTGAGGCCAGCTTCATTAGATAAACCCTCATGGATCTAAACTGGAGACTGTGTTAGTCCATTTTTGTTGCTATAATAAAATGTATGATGCAGACTACTTTATAAAGGAGAGATTTATGTTGTCACACAGTTTTGGAAGTACAAGGTTGAGGTGTCACATCTGGGGGATGGCCTTCTTGCTGGCAAAGTCCAGAGTAATACAGGGCATCACTCAGTGAGAGACAATGAGCACTTGTATGTTTCTGTGTCTAATCTGGTGCCTCTCTCTCTCTCTCTCTCTCTGTTACAAAGCCACCAGGATTCAATCACAGAACCTCCACCCTAATGACCTTACCTGATCCTAATCCTTCCAAAAGGCCATATGTCTAAACACCATAGTCAGATTAAGTTCCATCCTTTCCATCCTCTTAATATATCACAGTGGATATAAAATTTCAATACATGAAGCCTCAGGGAATAATTAAACTCTGTCCAGATCCCAGCAGGTCTGAGGCCTATGTAATTCCATAGCTAATGACCCTTCACCTGACCTCTCTTAGACCCACTTACCTTAATTTTAGTGGTAAAATAGTGGGGTGGGGACAGTGACTGCACACCAATCCAGAATGTTCAGAATGAAGAATTCAGCTTCCCAGAGCTCTGCTGGGATTAACATTCCTGTAGCTCCACCATGACCAGCAGCCTAGACCATTTTCTGATTCAGCTGAGATTTAAAGATTACTGTGGGTGACTTCCTGGTGAAACAACCAGATGTCCTTGTTCAGACTTGCTCACCCTATGTGGGCATATTTCCTCCAACGTTGGGAGAATAGACTCAAAAGCTCATTCTATCTCCTGTCTCCCTCTTCCCCAATCTGGATCTCAAAATCTGAGACCAGAGTCCATGCACCAGACTAACACCTGGTGGAATACAGCCAGGAGAGAGAATGAGAGCCCCAGGTAGACCTGTTGGAGGACTGTGGAAATGAGTTACGAATGGAGGAAACCTAGAGGCCAGTGAGGTCCTGGGGACCTTCTAGCCCAGCCGTCTTGCTGTCTCAGGGGGAGAAGGAAGCCTCAGAAAGGTGAGGGGTGAGAAGTAAAGGGCACAGTGGGCTCCAACAGAGGACTCCCAACTCCTGATCCAGGAGCCTAGCACTTCTCCATGCTATGTGGACCACAGATTCTGCAGTAAAACGTTTCTTTCAAAAGTAGAAATAACCCACGAACACAGTAGCATTATGCAAGATACCCAAGAGGCAGAAACAACTCATGTGTCCACTGGTGGGTCAATGGGTAAATAAAATGCGGTGTATGCAAACAAGGAAATACTATTCCAGCTTAAAAATGAAGGAAATTCTTACATTTGTTACAATATGGATGAGCCTTTGAAGATGATATATAGCAAATGAAGTAAGCCAGTCACCAAGTGATAAATACTGTATGATTTCACTCATATTGCTTGAGGAAACCAGTTTCTATCTCAGAGATATAGAATAGAATGGCTGTCCAGACCCCACTCTCCTGGCACACCCAAGGGCTCCCACAGCTCTGACCTGACTCTCATTTCTCAAGACCTTCGCTCCAGCTGTCTTACAGCTTCCTTTAGAAGGAGCCAGACCAGCTCTGGCCATCCTTATGCTTCACTGCTCTATTTAAACTGCTCTGCCATTTCTAATTGTTCTAGTCTGCTGCCTACCTCCACCCCAGCCAGAAGTCATTGCCTTTTTCAAGCTCTGTGCCCCTACAAATACCCTTGCTCCTCCATCACCTGTCAGGCTCTGAGGAGTTCCTCCAAAGAAGAGATAGTCCTCAACTCAACTCACTCCCCCCTTGAGGTAGGTTCGTCAGTGTCTCGTCACAGAAAAAGAATTTCAGGACACATCAGTGGGAGGCATTGGAAGATTCATTAGGCAGTTAAAGAAGTATATACTCAAAGAAAATAGAAGATGGACACTCAAGAAAGAGACGCACTATGGTCTGAGTTTGGGGATATAAGTCCCTGACTTATGAATGAGTTCAGTCCCAGGAGAATGCCTGAAAGTCAGATTCATTTGGAAATCCAACAAAGTGAGTCTTACAAATCTTTGACACGAATATACAATGTATATTGCCTTGCACTTCCTATCAGTCCCCTCTTCATTACCACTGCTTTTCCTCTTGCTTCCGGACCTCCTGGGCTCTGAGTGAGCACTGTACTACTGTACTGTACTATTGTACTGTATAGTAAGAACACAGCAGTACAGCTGTGACAATGTCCAGCAGACATGTGAGCTACTCCCACAATTTGTTTGCATCTACAAATGTTTGAAATGCGAGGTCCAGTCATATCTGTGAAAGTTCGCAACTCGAATTCTGTAAGTTGGGGACCTACTGTATATAAATGTTCTTGGAGGTATCCTTTAAGAGGTATCTTTGAATCATTTGGGTCTGTTTCTTCATTTTAAGGTCAGGTTGGTTCCCTTTACCTTATCAATAGGTTACTTTATAAACTTCTAGGGGTTTTTTTGTTTGATTGAACCCAGAGCCTTCGTACTGAGCTACAGTCTCAGCCCCTTCACACACACCTTTTAAAATTTTGAGGCAAGGTCTTGCTAAATTGCCCAGGCTGGGCTTGAACTTGAAACCCTTCTGCCTCAGCTTCTCAGAGTACTGGGGTTACTTGCATGCACCTCCATGCCTGGCTCATGGATTTATAGTATTTTGTAGGTGTTTGGGTGTGATCCTGGAAGAAAAAAACAAACAAGCCTAGGGAGGAGTACAGATACACATAGGGAGTAAAGATGTGGAACACAGAGATGGATAACCCTGGTTAACTGTGTGCCCTGAAGTTACAGTTTTTAGAAGTAAAATTTTAAAATTTCATTTTCTCCTTTCTAACTGTCTTTATTTCTTCTATTCTAGCTCACCCTCTCTTGTAATAAACTGTTCCATTGTAGTGGTTTATCTTTGCTCCCACCAGCCTCTCTGGTCATGGGAAATGGGAGCATGGCTGTCCCTCTGTGGCCCCGGCACCTGGCACAGGGCCTGGCACCAAGTAGGTGCTTGGTAGAGGTTGGATGACTGGGTGGGAAAGAGAAGGAGAGAAGAAATGGTCACTAGTACCAAGGTTCTGGAAGACTCATTCTAATGTCATTAACTTCTCAAAGAACACCCTAACATTTGGCAGTTCTCCAAAACAGAATTTTTCTTAGCAAATAATACTCTCTAGCTGATGCATTTTTAAAAATACTTTGACATGGCGACAGTTGCTGTGCTTCTGACGTGCTTTTTCCAGTGAGTCTGTCAGGGAGCATAGCAACATGGCCTAAAAGGCCCTCTTTGCCATGTGGACCTGGCTACTGGGCTGTCTGGCTTCTGGTATTCTGATCCTAGTGCAGAGTGAATTCACTTTCCAGCTTTGAGCAAGACAGGCCTGAGCCCTGGGCAGTTAGAGGCCTAGGAGTAGGGAGCCCAGGAGTCCTGGACTTTCCATGTGATCAGTTGCCTATGCCCAGGAGTAAATCGACACACTTCCTTGCACCAGTTTGGCGAGCTGAGGGAGCTAGGCACAAATAAATTGAATGAGGCTCTTTGTGTGGCTTTGCATGGGGCTTGCTAATGCATTTCCTCTCTAATACTGTCTCAGCCTGATTGGAAGTGACTGGATGCTATATTAAGAAAGATTTTGAGGTCTCAATTTGGCATTGCAGGAAGGAATATCATGATTAATTAGTAATATCTGCCACAGAGAGAGGAGGAGTAATACCTATGTGCCACAAAGCTGCCGCCCCAGGTCTTACTACCAACTAAGCTCAGGCTTTGGAGTCTGGATGACTTGGGATTAAATTTCACTCTGTTCTCCTGGGCATCCATTTGTTTATCCCTGAAATGGACTTGTATAATTCTGAGTATGGCTTCAGCGCCATAACAAAGGTACCTAAGAGTTCTATGGCTTGACATAAGTTCCAAGTTTCTGTCTCTTGTGTTGAAGAAAGGAGAGGAAGGTGAGCTACTCTGTGCTGGCAGGTGTAGGGGGCAGCTGTTCTGCCATCCTCAGCATGTCACTTGTGGATCTAAGCTGGCTGCTTTCATTCTTGCCATTTATCAGCCAGAAGGAAAGAGAACCAGACCGGGGGGAGCATGTGTCCAGTGGTTTCAGAGGTGACCCAGAAGCAGCTCACATCACTGCTCATTTCCTATTTAAGCAGAATAGTCACTTGGCTACCCCTATGTGTGATTTACTGGGAAGTCGAGTTTTTAGTTGGGGAGTTCTGCACTTGCCTGGCACTCTGATGGGCAGAGAAGGAGGCAATGAGTGTTGGGATGAGATGCTCAGGGCACTTTCTGAGCATGTCTTGGGGTGGGTAGGCCTGGTGACAGCATGTGGGTCCCTCTGGCACCTGACAGGCCTTCCCCAAGGTCACAGGTGCCTCCCATCTCCCTGCCCAGGAGCTGGTGCAGATCCTGCACAAGGCGCTAGAGGCTGCGCAGCAGGAGAAGAGGGTATCCAGTGCGTACCTGGCTGCAGCTGAGGATAAGGACCGGCTAGAGCTGGTACGGCACCAGGTGCGGCAGATCACAGAGCTGAGCCGGAGAGTGGAGACCCTGGAGAAGGAGCGAGAAAGTTTAACACATTCAGTCAGCCTTCGAGAGCAAGAGGTGCAGGAGCTGCAGGAACACGTGCAGCTGCTCATGGACAAGAACCAAGCCAAGCAGCAGGTCATCTGCAAGCTCTCTGAGAAGGTCACCCAGGACTTCACGCAGCTCCCCAGTGAACCCCACATGCCTCCCACCCCTGCTGACAGGGACCTCCTAAGCCAGCAGGAGAGGATGGAGCACCTGAAGGTAAGGCCTCCCCATCCCCCAGGATGCTGTCTCAATGCTTATGGTTTTCTAGATGGAGCAAGAGTCTCCCTCCATCTGAACAGTCATACTGGAAAGAGATGTGGATGGGAAAATTGCTCTTCACTTTCTCACTGTCTTCACCTTTTCATGACAGCCTCAGCTGCTGAAAAGTACAAATGTCTCCAGCTTATCAAATTAGAGATGAAAGAGCCAGGATGTGCAAGGTCTGGGACCTGGCCTGGACAGCTTGCTTTAGTGCCACTCCAATAACCCAGAAACCCCAAGGTGCCAGGGCTGCCCTCCCAGCCACCCTACACATGGTACAGGTAACCTGTGGTGGCTGTGGCTTGCTTGTGATAATGGCTTCTTCTCATTTATGGAATTGGTAGGATGTTCACTGTGGCCAGGCACTTTGCATGATCTTACTTCATCCTCACACCAGTCCTAGGAGGCAGTCACTTGTAAGCTGCCCACTTTGCAGAAGGGAATGTTGAGGCTGAGCAAAGTTAAGAAGCTGGCCTGGTCTGCTCAGAGGTGGGGAGCTGAGATGGGGCTAGAACTCACTTCTGCTGATTTGTCTGTCTATTCTGCTGTCTCAGCTGCTCTGCCTCTTCTATCATAGCTCCTGCCCCTGTCCTGCCCCAACCTTCCTGCTCTGTCCCTGTCTCTCTACCCAGACTGCTCCAGCCCTCGGGGACTGAGGCACAGGGAGCAGGAACTTTAATTGAGGTGTAATGCCTGCCATGGCCTATAGCCTCCTCCCTCCTCTCCAGAAGGCTGTGACAGGACTACTCAGCCACGACGAGGCCTGAAGCTCGGTATTGATACATGCTTGTCATTCTCGCTGTCCCTAAAATCAGCCATATAGAACCAGGGCCAGTCTTGCCCAAATGGTGCCACTCACAGCTACATATGCATACCTAGGTAAAACCTTAGAAACTCCTGTGCTCCTAAATCAGGAGCAGGAACTGCTAGGAGGTTTCAAGGTGGGGGCAGGGTGGAAAAAAGAAAAAGAATTCAGGAAGCTTCTGAGAGAGGCAGTGGGAGTGCTGAACAGCAGCCAGGCTGTTATGGGAGGCCTCCTACAGGAGTCCAGGCTCCGCCTCCTGCTAGTCACGTGGCCTTGGGCAAGTCCTCTCACCTCTCTGTCAAGTGGCCTAACCAGTCCTGCTTAGAAGAGTTTTTAGGAGAATAAAAGACGAGAACCTGAAACCCAGATTCCCTTTCCTGTTGGCAGAAACTGAAAAATAATATAAAACCAACTAGTCCTGGAAGTGTTTATTAGTCTAAATCAGAAATTCTTCTGGTTTAAAACAAAACCAAAGCTTTTACATGGAGATGCAGCTGATGGTCGGGGAGCTGCAGTCCTGCAGTACAGTAGGATGCTTCCTTCTGCCCCGCCCTAGCCCCAGCTCCAGGCCCTCCTTTCCTCTCCCCTCTTCAGTAGAGCAGCAGAGGCCAGAAAGTAGATGAGACTGCCTGAGAGCTCCTTGTCACTATGGACTTCCTAGGAGCCTGCGTATGTCCTAAATTCACTTTTCCAGTTTTATTTTAGCAGTAGGCCCAGCTGGAAGGAGGCTCTGCAGTGTGATTCACATTGATGTGGTTCCTACATTTGCAGATCATCCTCCAGTGTCTTGTGCTTTAAAGAGTTGCATGTAGCAGATATTTCTTTTTCTTTTTTTTTTTTTTTTTGTTCCGGGGATCGAACTCGGGTCCTTGCACTTGCGCAGCAGACGGCGAAACCACTGAGCTAAATCCCAGCTCCAGGTAGCAGATATTTCTTAAAATTTAGCTTTTAGAAGATCCATCAAATAAGCATCCATCATCCTTAAGTCTGGCCATAGAGTTTGCATGTTTCTTGCTTGCCCTGTTTTGTTTTTTTTTTCTTTAAATTCTTTCATTGGTACATTTTAAGTATACAGTACAGTTACATTCCTCATTGGGATCTTGTACCTTTACATGACATATCTTGGTTCTTATTTTTCTCCATTCCCTGTCCTCCCTTCACTTCCTCCACCCTTCCCTATTTACAAAGACTTTGTTACCATTTTTTCCTTTTCTTATAATTTTTCCTTTCCCTTCTTTTCTTTCCCCTTCCCCTCCCACCTTCCCTACCTCTTTGGACCTTTTCTTCCTATTTCAAATTATAGACTGTCATTTTAAAAACAGAATCACTGATCTTGAGTGTCAGAGCCAGAAAGACTCAGAAGCCTAGTGTGCCCCTCCTTTTCTGGAACAAACTGGTCCAAGGTCACACAGGATGAGACATAGGCCAGCAGAAGCCCCAGGTCTCCTCACACAAGCACCTGTCCTTGGCCACAGGCACTTTCTAAAGAGAGTCTCTGGGCCTACAAAGCCGCAGCAGCAGCTCCCTGCTTCCAGTCCCCTTCTTCCACCCTTTTTCCACTTTGCTGTGCTGGTGGCTGTCATGTGGCTTTTCTCTGCTCTGAGGTTTCTCTTTTTCTTCCCTACAGTTCTGAGCCATGGAGAACACTCAAGGTAGGGCTCTGAGATGAATGGGAGGGTGCTGCTCCATCACAACCCCCTCCCCACTACTGGTCCAAGGGTGCTCACACCACCCCCATGTCTGGGCACGTTTGTGCCTCTTCTAGAACTGGAAGCAAGGTGCCTCATGTGACAAAAGCCTTGGAAATGCCACTGAGCAACTTATAGGCCTGGATAGAGTGGTAACACTTCTAGGCTAGGATGGGATGGTAACAAAAAGATGGGAGCCAGCATGTTGTGGAGGGGTTTGCTGGGATTCACTCTGAGCTGATCAACCTGTGTTTGGGTCTTGGCTCTCCCCCACACCAGTTGCAGGACAGAGGACCTTCCCTTCTCAGTGATTGTTTCCTCGACTGTAAAAGGGAATGATTGCACTTTAATACTGATCCCAAAGGTAGTGGGCCAGGTACAGAGCGGGTACTCAGAGACTTGAAGATCCTGTCTTTCCCGACCTCCCTGGTGCTCACTGCTTGTCCTGGGCATTTGGCAAGAATCCATATCAGCAGCAGTCGGAGAGTGTTCTGCAGACAAGGAGGAGCAGGTGGGCCCTGGGAGCCTTCTTGCATTGTACTTGCCCTGTGCTAGCTACCACTCTAAGCCTTTTGTACATATGAGCTCACCGATCCTCCCAGGAGCCCCTTGAGGTGGTACTACTGTTGTCCCCAGTGAGGGGACAGAGCATGGGAAAGTTAAGTAATGTGTCCAGAGGTGCAGTGGTGAGGATGGAGCATGCAGGTAGTGTGGCCCCAGCATCCTTGCGCCTGACCTGTACCAGCAGCGATGCTAGCACACAGGCAGTGCCCACATCTTCAAAGTCCTGTTATTATACTGCCTGCCAGGTCAGCCTGCATGCATTAGCTGGGAGACTACAGAGGACCTCCCTGGGAGGCAGGGACTAGAGTTTGGGCCTTCTGGTGGCTTCCAGCTACGAGGGAGCTCAGAGAGTGACCAGGAAGGAAGTGCAGTGGCCACAGTACAATTGTTGAATCCACAGACCTGGGCCTGGTCATACTCTGCCTTGTCCTGGCTGCTTGGCCTCTGGTAAGTTCCTTTCCCTTTAGGGTCCCTGAGGCATCCTCTATGTTCCCAAGGATGACAAAACATTTCTTCTAGTGGTGCTGGGAAGCTCAGTGTGGCAGTGGCAAAGGGAGCCATACAGGGAGGCATACAGAAAAGTCAGACTCACGTGAGTGGGGTGTGGTCCTGGGAAATCCTGCCATTCCCAGGAAGTCAGTCCCTGTGCCGAAAGCAGCGGGCTTCTCAGGACCTCGAAGGTCTCTGCCTCATAAGGATAAAGAAGTGGGAGTCCAAGTGGGAGCAGATTGCTTTGCACAGAGGAACAGCTGCACTCACTAGCAACATTTCTGAGATAGGGAGCCAGGATTCTCATCCAGAGAAAGAACATGGCTAGAGAGGAGGAAGACAAGGCTGGGGAGATGGATGGCAGGCTCCAGGCCAGGAGAGAGCAGAGTGAGCACAGCAGAGCACAGCCTTCCCAGCAGAATAAAGGTAGTGAGCCATGGCCATAGCTCAAGTCCTCATGTGACCCTTTTTTAAAAAATTCAAATAAATATCCTTTATTAAAGAAAAAAAGGAAAATTGTTAAGCACCAAAACTGTATGTTATTACATTGCATGTACAATAAGAGAAACATGATTGCAATACTTGGTGTACAAGTACTTAACTTTGAAGTCATGAGTGTAAAAAACATGAACAAAGCAATACAATAATTACAATGCAGAAAATTTGCACTAATGAGCAAAAGGCAACAGTCAAAACAATTATTGTAGATGTCCTAGCATTACTATAAATGCTTGCTTAGTATTTTGTTTGTACTTTTTTTTTTGGTACTGGGGATTGAACTCGGGTCCTTGCGCTTACGCAGCAGGCAGCGAAACCACTGAGCTAAATCCCCAGCCCTTTCTTTGTACTTTTAATACTTTAGAATGTTAATTGAGGGTATTTCTTGTAAATCTGCAGAAGATGCATTTACAACCCACTATGCACACTGTCCGTTTAATGTCATGGTGAGAAAGCCATCCATAAAGTCAATCACAACGTGCTAGTGTTTCTGCTTCTACCTTTATAATACTTCACAAAGCTAGTAAATGGTGAATCAGTTTGCCAGAATAATTTTTGTGTACCCAGAATGGCTAGAAACATGCCAGTTTTGTTAGCTCTAATGGACTTTATTCATGCAAAACGACCTATGGCCTTTGACTTTTTTGAACTACATCTGGCTCCCCTCATGTGACCCTTTCCAAGGTTTGTCCAACCTGTTGTGTGCCCCAGGAGCAGGTTCTCGCTACCACCAGGGACAGTTCACACAGACGGGGAGGTGTTGGCTCAGAGCCATTCATCATAGCAGAATTCAGAATCAAAGACCAACTGAAAACCTTAGGGCTCAAGTTTTAAAAACAAAAAGAAAAGGATTTAAGTAAATTATCATAAATTCGCCCAGAAAAGAGTCATCAGTCATTAAAAATGATCATTGGAGCTGAGCACATGCCTGCAATCTCAGCTACTTGAGAGGTTGAGGCAGGAAGATTGCAAGTTCAAGGCCATCCTGGGCAACTTAGCAAGACCCTGTCTCTTATAAGAAAAAAGAGGGGTTGGATGTGTAGTTCAGTAGCGTGCTTAGTAGGCTCAAGGCCCTGGGTTTAATTCCCAGCACCAGAATAAATGATCATTGGGAAACTTAGAACAGTATTTGCAATGTGACACTTTGCTATAAAATTTCCACATCATGATTACAAATATCTGATAAAATGTGTTGCTTTCAAAAAGACACTACTTGAGCACTTGCTGTGATTGGTCCTGTACATGTATTAGATTACCTCATCTAGTGTCCTTGCTGCCTAGTGGGGTAGCTGGTATTTGCCCCTTTTATAGATAAGGAGACAGAGGGTCAGAGTAGTTTGGAACCTCCCTGAAGCCCCTAGGCCAGGGTAATTTTTTTTTTCTCTTCCTCTTCTTTTTCTCCTTCTTCTTCCTCCTCCTCCTCCTCTTCTTCTTCTTCTTCCTCTTCTTCTTCTTCCTCCCCCTCCTCTTCTACTTCTTCCTCTTCTTCTTCCCCTTCTTCTTCTTCCTCTTCTTCCTCTTCTTCTTCCTCCTCCTCTTCTTCTTCCTCTTCTTCTTCTTCCTCTTCCCATCTTCTTCTTCTTCCTCCCCTCGTCTTCTTCCTCTTCTTCTTCTTCTTCCTCTTCTTCTTCTCCGCCTTCTTCTTCTCCTTCTCCTTCTCCTCCTCCTTCTTCTTCTTCCTCTTCTTCCTCCTCCTCCTCCTCCTCCTCCTCCTCCTCTTCTTCTTCTTCCCCTCCTCCTCCTCCTTCTCCTCCTCCTCTTCTTCTTCCTTCTCCTCCTCCTTCTTCTTTTTTTAGACAAGGTCTCTCTATGTAGTCCACACTGGCTTTGAACTCACTATGTACCACAGACTGGTCTCAAACTCACAACAATCCTGCCTCAGCCTCCCGAGTGCTGACTTCACAGATGTCTCTACATCTGGCTCTAAACTTCCTTTTCTATATTGTTATTGGGAATTTCTCAAGAAAGGAAGCTTTGCTGCTCATTTAAGGGTGTGACCCTCAGGACCAGGAAGATGTCTGTGGTATAACTCCTGACGTGCTTTGCTCTCTTTTTCAGGATGACATGGAAGCATACCGGACCCAGAACCGCTTCCTCAACTCTGAGATCCACCAGGTCACTAAGATCTGGAGGAAGGTGGCTGAGAAGGAGAAGGCCCTGCTGATGAAGGTGCTAGTGGGAGCTGGTGATCATGTCTGGGCCCTGCCCCTCCCAGTCCCATGACAACCACCAGCCCACTCTCCTTACCAGCTGCCCTCCAATGAGTCCCTTCTGAGCAGGGTTGCATTACCCTCCAGTCCCTGTTCAGCAGTGTTATGAGCAGCTGTGGGGAAGGGACATCAAGACCAATATGCTTGCTTGCTGCCCCCCAGGAGTGCACAGCAGGCAGCCAGTCCAGGAAGAAGTGGAGCTGGGACCCAGAGCTGTGACTGTGCTCTAAGCAGACTTTCACTGTCCTGGTCTCAAGAGACAGAAGGAAAGGCCCTGAGCAAGCAGTTGTGTGACTTGCCCAGGCCAGGAGAGGGTAGTGGCCAGGGCTGTCCCAGGCCAGGGCAGAGGGTGCAGGAAAGCCAGAGGTGGAAGGGCTGAGGTGTGTTGGAGAAATGGAAAGTGTTCATGTGACCGATCATCACCAGAGCCCAGAGGAAGACTCCATGTTACCCCCAGGTTCCAAATGAAGAAGCTAAGGCACAGAGAGGTTAAGTAACACAGCTACAAGGATGAACCAGGATGGAAACTATAGGCTGTGCAGAGCCTGTGCTCACTTCCCTCCCCTCCCCACTTTTGGACTTTGATCCCCTCCTGCCTGCTTTGCTTTAAGCCACTGGATTCTGGGCCCCTCTCCTTTCTCCTGTATGGAGTTCTAGGAGAGGGGAGGAGCAGGAGAAAAGAGCTGCAAGGGCTGTGCTGCCATCCAGGGCACAGGCTGGGTGGCCTGACCCTGACAGGTGCCCTGACCGTCCCCACCTGCCCCCTTGCAGTGCGCCTACCTCCAAGCCAGGAACTGCCAGCTGGAAAGCAAGTACCTGGCCGGGCTTCGGAGGCTGCAGGAGGCCAAGGCCAGCGAGTGCTCTGAGCTGCTGCGGCAGTTCATCCAGGAGGCGCTGCAGTGGGAAGCAGGCACGGCCTCAGGGGACAGCGTGGAGCTGAGCCCTGTCAGGTGAGCCCAGCTACATTACCCAGGACCCGCGGCTGCCCTTCCTGCAGACTGCATGGGGCTCCTGGCAAATGAATGTGGGGCCAGCTGAAGACAGCAGGCTCAGAGGAGGCAGCGCCTTGCCCAAGGCCACACAGTCCATCATGCAGCTCACCAGGCTGCCCCCCAGACATGCATGTCACAAACAGGAGAGGAGTCAAGTCACTGTCTCCTCCTCGAGCCTAACCCTGGCTGAGCACAGTGAGCACTGGTAGTTATGTATAACAGAACGGGGTATGGCAGTGCCCAAAGGTCCATGGAGGCTGGGCAGCCCACTGGCAGGAGTCTGGCTTTGAGGCCAGACCTGGCTCTCTTGTGTGACATTGGGCAAGTCACCTTAGCTTTCTGAGACTCCTACTTAGCCTCTGTAAGATGTAGCCTACGACCCCTGCTTTGTAGGATCATTGGGATTGACTGAGATAGTTCATGCAGTGCAAGTGGTAGGGCAAATAAATGCCGAATACGTGAAAGGCCACTTGTGGGTCCCAGCTCTCCCATCTCTGCCTGTCATTGGTGGCCATCCTTGAGCCAGTTGGCTGTGGGAGATGGGGCATACAGCAATACTACAGGGTTTCTTGGCCCCAGGCTGCAGGGGTACTCAGAGGGCCTTGTGTTGCACGGGATGAGTGAGTATCTCCTAGGCCTGTGCAGCAGGCACTTCCAGACCCCTAGCAGTTACAGCAGAGCCTCTTACTGGGTCCTCAGGAGTCAGAACAGGAGTTCCTCTACCCACTGTACAGATGAGTAAACTGAGGCTGGGAGAAATAAAGTGACCTGCCCAGAGCTGCATGGCCAGCCAAGGCCAGTACCCAACCCTGTAGCCCCCAACTGCCCCTAAACTAGGGAAGGGCTCTTCTTGCAGCATATGGCTAACATGCATTTTTGCTGGCAGTGAGTATGATGAGTATGGCTTCCTGACAGTACCTGACTACGAGATGGAAGACCTGAGGCTGCTGGCCAAGATCCAAGCGCTGGAGGTACGCTCCCACCACCTGCTGGAGCTCGAGGCTGTGGAGCGGCCGCTGCGGCAGCGCTGGGCTGCCCTGAGCGAACTGACACCGTCGGCCGAACTGAAGCAGCTGCTGCGGGCAGGAGTGCCCCATGAACACCGGCCACGTGTCTGGAGGTGGCTGGTCCATCGCCGCATCCAGCACCTGCACACCCCGGGCTGCTACCAGGAGCTGCTGAACCAGGGTCGGGCCTGTGAGCATCCTGCTGCCCGCCAGATCGAGCTGGACCTGAACCGGACTTTCCCCAACAATAAGCACTTCACTTGTCCCACCTCCATCTTCCCTGACAAGCTGCACCGGGTGCTGCTGGCCTTCTCCTGGCATAACCCCACCATCGGCTACTGCCAGGGCCTGAACAGGTGAGCCACTGTGGTCACAAGGAGGACTAGGCCTTTGCCTACCAGAGCACTGCCACAGCTCTTTGGGGCCTCCCAAGACCCTGGAAGCATGAGCCCAAGACAAGGGCCAGAGCTTAGGGTCTTTGTCCTGTGCACTCCACTTTAAGCTTGACAGGTGCCAGCAACACAGAACCAAGGGGTGGTTAGTGCAACCCGGTTTGCATGCACAGAACTGGCCAGGTCAGGGATTGTCTGCACCAAGGGAGCCCAGAGCAGCCCAAGGAGAAAGGAGATTGTAAGTGGTATGGAGAGCTCAAGGAAGCCAGGGAAAGCAAATAGAGGTGAAGCCCAGCTGTCCAGCAAGGCCGCAGCCCAGCACAACACCCGGTCAGTTCCTGGGTTCTCCCCAGTGAGCATCATCCTGCGACGCATGGCACATAGTCTCTCTCTGCAGTGGCCTGGCCTCTGGCCTCTCCTTGCTGTCCACGTTGGTTTCCTCCTCTCTTGATGCACCAGGCTCTCTCACTCATTCTTTGGACACACATGGTTGTTTGAGGATGTCAGTGGACCTCTCAGCCCTGGAGTCATGGGCCTTTGGCTTATCTTCCCATCCTACCTCTCACATGCTTAACCCCTTTGTCCAGGTTGGAAATTCCAAAGAAGGGGTCTTAATGCCCCATTTCTGGTCCAATCAGCAGGAGAGGGAGAAGATAAGGTTGAGTTTGGGGCCACCTGGCTCATAGGGCTGCCTCCTCTAAAACTGGGAGGGTATTCTCCTGGACACCCCAGTTATTGCCATAGGAATTGCATAGAGTATCTCCTTTCCTGGACACCCCAATTAACTCCATAGAAATGGCATAGTTTGAGTATGTCCCAAAGCAAGTTTCAACTCAATTTATTTAAACACATATATACTTGAGCAAAATTTACAAAAGCAGTTCTGTTCCTTTTTCAGAAAGATGGCGTGTGACATTTATTTAACATAGAGTCAACATCCAGAATGTCCTTACTCAAATTTGAATGGTTCCCAAGTGTAAATATTTTCATTATTCTTATTTCTAACCTAAATGTGGGTGAAATTGAGCGTGTATATGTACAATTACTGAGAAAGTTCATGGTTAAACTCCAACAATGATGCTTCTCAATCTAAGCCCCTTGGAAAAACAGGATTTCATGCTGCTCTGAATATTGGCTACAGGTAATGTCTGTGGACCATTCATTCATTAACAGCTGAGCAAAGAGGCCTGTGCACCTCTTTCTGAATGTGTTAAAATCCAGAAGGGATAAAACTCCCAAAGCCTCTTTAAGAAAGCTGTGAAGGGAGCTGGAAGCTGAGATTAGTATGAATAATAATTTTTACATTTTGTGCAAAGGTCAGGTAGGAGTAACACGAATGGAGGGTGCTTTATATACCTGCTATCGTTTAATCTCATGTAAGAGTAAAGTAAGCCCTGGTGCCCCACTGAACAAGTGAGACAAAGTCTGAGAGCCCAAGGGACCAGCTCAGCACCTCACCACACGGGGCAGCTGGACACCCAGTCCTCCCAGCCCACCCTCACTCCAAGCAGGCACTGTGGCAGAAGGGGCGCTGAGAGTACTCCAGAGCCTTTTCTCCTGATCCCATGTGACCTCTCAGGGATGGGAGTAGCCACATATGGTCTGTAGATGTTCGGAGTGCAATCCATGCTGCAGGGCAAGAGAAATCCTTGTAGCAGGAGGGGCCTTGAGATCAGCCTCACAGCAGGAGAGAAGCTCCCCCTGTGTGGAAGGAGACAGGACTGGGGCAGAAGGCCCATGGGAACAACAAACCAAGAGAGTTGGGGCCGGGGATTTAGCTCAATGGTTCTGCCACCTGCCTTGCAAGCGCAAGGTCCCAAGTTCAATCCCCGGTACCAAAAAAGAGAGAGAAGTGGGAGATAATCAAGGGCATTTTTAATGTCTCTGTCTCTGTCCTTCTGTCTCTCTTTCTCTCTCTGCTATTTTTACTTAAACTTGATATGCAAGCACAGATAATTGGTATTCATGCAAACATTGATACTATTGCTTTAAATAGAAAGCTACATATAATAGAAAGCCTGTTCAAATGTGGATAAATTCTTTTGGAGGCCCCTTAAATCCAAGCTGCAGGCCCCTTATGCTTGTCTCCGTTGCCATCTAGTGATGGCCACTAGAACTGCATGTGTGTTCAAGATAACTGATCCTGCTTCTAAGGCAACAAATCCAGCCTGGTTAGACTGACAGATAACACAGTGATGATCTAACTGTGAAAATAAGTGGAATCCTTTAAAAATAGTCAGTTCTTCTCCCCATGGACACACCCCCTCCTGTGCAGGCCCAGTGGGACTCTGAAAAATGGCTGGAGTCCAGCTTAGTCCTGAGCAGTTAGTAAGCCCTGGTGGGAACTAGCCTCAGGTAACTGACCTTTTAGTGTGTATGGAAGTCTCAGCCAGTGCTGGCAGACAGCTCCTGGATTTGGAGTGGTGAGAGCACCAGGGTGGACTTTGAGAGTCCTAGGTTCTCCTCCCACTCTGCCATTAACTGACTGATTTTTAACCAGTCACTATGGTTTTCTGGGGCTCAGTTTTCCCTTCAGGAGTTTGTCTTGACCAGAGAAGACCAATAGGAGGCAGCTACTCACAGCCTGACCTCAGGGAATTTTTGAGGTAGCCTCTAGATGGGGAAAGAGTGCCATGATCATTTAGTTAGGTCTTCTGTAGGCAGAAATAAAGGGAATGTGACACAGTTGTCTTTCTGAGGCATAGACAAAGAGAGTGGTAGCCCATATACCACACATTTACTATCCTTCAACTCAGTGACCTCTGAAGGCCACTTCTGCCAGCCTCCTTTTTCCCAGGACGCCTGTGACTCTCCTCCTCCTCTTCCACTCAGCTCGGACTCAGGAAGGTTTGTACAAATATTTGAACCAGAGTTGAAATTCCTTCCCAAACTACTGGGGAAGAAGAAAAGATTTCATTTTTGAGATTCAGCCCTGTATTTAAATGTCATGAACCTCAGAAGAAAGTAGAGGTCATGAATCCAGTCTAGTAAGAAAGAGGAGAAGCTATCAGGACAATGAAATATGCTCTTTAAATGCTCTGAGTCTATATAGAGAGCCTGTGGTCTAGTGCTGAGGTGTCTTCCCCCTGCAAGAGCTCTGAGGAACACTGCTCTACCCACCCCACCCCACCCTGCCTCCTTGGGGGTAAAGCTCCATGGCCTACAGGACCACCACAGGTGGCTGCAGGATTTCCTGGGGGCTAAGATAGTGCGTTTCATCATGGAATCAGAAGCCAGAAGTCCACAGGAGATATTTTGGGAAATGTGTTCTTGGATTAACCCCCAGATGCACCCCTGAGGGAAGATGGGTGAAGTGGAGAATACATTACTTCCCGGGAACTCTTCCCAGCTCTGCCCTGCAAGTTCTGTCTTTCTTACTCACGTCTCACTGGAGCCTCATGATAACTTGGTGGGGAGGTCAAGGGGAAAAGAGCTGTGTGTCAGGCACTGGGGTGTGCACATCAGGCAGTCAGAGGGCCCACAGCCCAGGCTGGGGAATATTGCCAGTGCCACTCTGCAGAGCCCAGAATTGAAGCTCCAAGAGGTCGTGCACTTACCAGAGTCCCAGAGCACATGAGTACAGAGGTGAGAACGGCTAATGTTTATAAACAGCTCAGTAGACGCCAGGCACTGGGCTGAGCATTGAATGTGTGACCTCTGTTCACCCTCACACCATCCTGTGATGATTCTGCAGAGGCTGTGTCACCCAGGAAGCAGCAAGGCCAGGATTCACATCCAGGCAACCTGATCTCCATTGTTCTGGAAACCACCCTGGTCATTGTCTCTGGAAGAGTGTTGTCACCAGCCTGGTTAGGGCGTTAGGTTGGGCTGGTGCTAGTATAGAAGCTCTACCCCAGGACCCATGGAGCCACCTCAGCCACCAGTTACCTGGCAGGGCTATAGCTTTTGCGTCACTCCAGGCCTCTTCCTCCCATACCAGGCTGGCAGCCATCGCCCTGCTCGTCCTGGAGGACGAGGAGAGTGCCTTCTGGTGCCTGGTGGCCATCGTGGAGAGCATCATGCCAGCAGAGTATTATGGCAAGACCCTTATGGCGTCCCAGGTAAGCTGGGGAGGGAGGGCACCTGTGGCCACACAGCCAGGAACCCTGAGTGGTTCCTGTGAGCCAGTGAATCTCAGGACAGTGGGAGTCTCTCAGGCCTCCATTTCTCCTTCTGTCTGATGGGCCAGTAACCCTTCTCTTGGACCCCTGGGAGGGTCTGGCAAGCTGGTGCTTGTAGAATTGCTGGAGCCCTGCCCACAGCACAGACTGATGATATTCATGCGGTGGTAATCTCATGTCCTTGGCTTCATGGGGAGGAGAGGAGAAAATCTAGTGTCTCTTGCCATCTGCCAGTGAAGAATTTCAAGACACAGGTCCGCGGGATAGGAGCTGGGGAGCACAGGAGGCAAGATGATGCTTCCTGCCCACAACAGCTAACCACTGAGATGCACTGCCTCCGTCATCTCCTCCCCTTCCACTGGCCTCTGGCCTTGGTGTCGGGCAGAGCAGGGCCCAGAGCCCTGCTCTCCTGGCCAGCTGTGTGGCCTTGGCACCTGATACCATCTCTCAACCCCAGGCCAGCCCACGTTAGAGTGGGAATAGGGTTGCTTCATGGGCTTATATAAATGCAAAGCAATCTCAAACCTGTCCCCTGGCTCTCAGTTTTGCCTGCCATTCTTGCTGTGTCAGCCCTTTCTGCTTTACCAAGAGAGGCCATTTACTCCTTCTGCATGACCAAGTCTAGCCGGCTACTGTATGCCTCCCATCTTTTCCCTCCTTTCCTCCACCCACTATCTAACACCAGCTCCTCCTCCTGGATACCCACCTGGGGAATGGGGTCCCTGACAGGGGAAGCTCAGGTGCATGCTGAGGAGAGAGCAAGACTCAGGAGCCATCAGTGAGTAGGTGGGGACCACATGAGGACTGCCTTTGGCTGCACGGGAGGGAGCCTGAGTGGTTTCAGTGGGGCACTGTTTTGTTTTGTTTCTGAGACAGGGTCTCTCTATGTAGTTCAGGCTGGTCTTGAACTCACTATGTAACCCAGGCTGACCTCAAACTCACCATGAACCTCCTACCTCAGCCTCCTGAGTGCTGGATAACAGGTGAGCGCCACCCCACCTGCTGAAGGGGCAATATTTTTCTCACTAATGACAAAGTGGTACCTGCTCGTTGATGCCATCAGTAGTCAGGCTCCTTTCAGCTCCCTGATCTGCCATCCCTGGCCTGGGGCTTTCAACCTCATGCTTATCACCTTGTATGCACAAGAGGACAGCACCATCCTCTGCCCTGTGGCAATGGCCTAGGCAGAAAGAAGCAGAGAAGGCAGGAGCTGGCTTCCCCACCCAACAGATTCTGCTTAGCTCTATCTATGGTCAGAACTGCCTCTTATGGCTGACCCTAGCTGCAGAGTGAGCTGGGAAATGTGCTATATTTTCTTTCCATGTCTTAATATCTCTGAATTTTAGGTGCGTTGTACCATCAATGTCAAAGTTGCATTTTTTTTAATTGTAGAGAATTTTCCACATTCAAAAAAAAAGTAGAATAGTATAATGCACCTCCATGTGCCCATCACCTAATTTTCTTAATTATTGACTCAGGGAAGCCAGTGCTGTCTCATCCATCCTCCAGCCACTCCTGCTCTGATAGTCTTGGTGTACACCAGTTCATCTATGAAACCTTCAGGAGGTTCAGTGGCATGTCAGACCCAGTGTGTTACCTGGGATTCTGAGCTAAATGTGTAGCCTCCACTGCTACATGAGGGGAGCCATTGGGTGCTTGCCATGGCCAACACCAAAGCCTAGGACTTTGGTAGGAGACAACTGAGAGCACTGTGGTCCAGGCAAAGAAACTAAAATAGGGCCATCAAAGAGGGAGAAAGGAACCATAAAAAAAACCATACCTTGGAGCCAGGGAAGGAGCCAGGGCTGGATGGTCCCCAAATTTTTTGGCACCAGAGACTAGTTTTGTTGAAGACAGTTATTCCATGGACTAGGAATAGGGGTATGGTTTGGGGATGATTCAAGTGCATTACATTTATTTTGTACTCTATTTCTATTATTATTACATTGGAATATATAATGAAATAATTATACAACTCACCATGAGCTTGTTTTCCTGTAACTAGATGGTCCTATCTGGGGGTGATGGGAGACAGTGACACCTGAAGTGTTGCTTATGTCCAGTCTACTCTGTAATCTTTTTTGGTTGCTGTCACTGCAGCAAACCCTGCTTCACAAAGATAGGATGTGGAAATAGAAGCAGGCTTTTCAGTGCTTTTGTGGTAATCTCAGGATATTCCACCTTGACTCTAATTCAAAACATATGGAAATTTGAAGTTGTCTCAAACATACCTTTAAGGCCACTGTCATTTGCAATCTCAAGCAGTTGATCTTCTGCACAAAGTCAACTTACCTAGTTTGCTTAGGAATGGGTTGCAGCTCCATTCCTCCTTATTTCAGGGGCCTTTTGTGGTAAGGAAAACTGAGTTAAGGGGGTGAGTTTTAATGTGGTTGGTAATTTTAATCACATCCTACAAGACATTGCTAAGTTCAGGTGACATTTTTGGGCTAGCCAGCATTTCTCTGTGGACAACACAGTGCATAGACTCACATTCAGAAACAACCTTTTAGCCTGAGTAGTAAAATTGGAAAACTGTCCAGTCATTCCAGCTACTCCATCTGTCCATATAGCAACACAAAATGTCTGACTTGGTTTTCCTGCTATGTAATCATTCAAAGACTTGAATAGTTCTACAGCTGTGGTGTTGGTTGGCAACAGAAGTGCACATAACATAGCCTCATGCATATCCCCCTGGAAAATGTATTGCACAAAAGAAGCATTGTTGCCTTATTGTCCCATGGGTAGACTTGTCAACCTGGATTTCATCACTGTGACTAATTAATCCTATTTAACAGTTATGCCTCAATATCCTCAGCTATTTCATCAATTCATCTAGTTATGGTGCTAGCCAAAAGAGGAAAATATGCCACCTTTTGAAATATAGCCTCTCCTAAAAGCTCACAACAGATGTTCTCAGCAGCAAGCAGGACCATTTCTTCACCAATAGTGATGGGCTTCTTAGCTTTAACAATGCAGTTAGCCACTAAGTTAGCCACTGCACACCCTCAGTGCAGACACATTTCATGACACATTTCAATAATTGCTTCTGTTCTTCATGTTCACATATTTTTTTCTTTTGAAAAACTCCAAAGGCTGGTCTTTTAATGCATGGTGCTTGGTCTCTGTGTAGCAAAGCAGGTTTGAAGGTTTCATGGCTTTGTTGGAAGCCAGTTGCCACATATTATACAAAGTAGGCTTGGAGAATGTGAATCACCTTTGAAATGAACCTTTACTATAAATAGGACTCTTGGTATTTTCTTTTAAGTGCAGCTTTCTTTTTGTTGGTAGTCTTCTGCTGTCTCATTATTGGATCTTTCCCCCTTTTCAAAGAAGCTCTCCAGTGACTTTTTTTTTTTTTTCATTTTGGCTAGGGTCAGTTTGTGGGCTTACAAAACTGACTGAGACAAGTGTTTGGTGTGGGAAAGAGGCACAGACAGAAGTGGTAAATAACCCGAGTTCGATCCACGGTACCAAAAAAAAAAAAAAAAAGAATTGTGTATCAGAAGTGTTAAATAAAATATTGGATAGGCCACGTGCAAACTAAAATATGTGTTGCATTCTGACTTACAGCCTGCCAGATTCAGCTATATAATTGAAGAACACCACTCACTTGCCACTCTAACACCTGCTACCAGATATAGCTTAATTTTCATTTGTTAGTCACTGATAGAATTTTTCTGTGAGTCTGAAAATATGATTTATTATGGGCTGTGCTGAGTCAAACCTCTCTGCTAATGTTAATCTTTATTTGCAGCTGCTCCCCATTGCTGACATCACTGCCTCAGCTTCACCTCAGATCATCAAGCATTAGATCCTCATAATAAGTACACAGTCTAGATCCCTCTCATGTGCAGCTCACAGTAGGGTTGTGCTCCTATGAGAATCTAATCCATTGCTGATGTGATGGGAAGTGGAGCTCAGGTGGTAATATGAACCATGGGGCTTGGCTATAAATATAGATGAAGCTTTGCTCACACCTGCTGCTCACCTCCTGCTGTGCAGCCTGGCTCCTAACAGGCCACAGACTGGTATCAGTCCAAGGCCCAAGGACTGGAGGCCCCTAATGAACAGGTTCAGTGAAACAAGTGTAGCAGCATGACAATGGCCACCAGGGAAGGTCACTGACAACCACTGGCCCACACCATCCGTTTTTGAGAAGATCCCTTGACATCTAGTGTGGCAGGACATATGTCCCAGGAGCTTCCCCAAACATCTACCAAGCTTCCATCAGGCTTCAGGCCCAAGGTGGGTACCAGCTGATAGAAACCTAGGGACAAAGCTCCCATTTCTCCCTGGCTCTATGCACCAGCCCAGTTTCTCCAAACTGCCAGGAGGAGCAGCTTGGCTTGAGATTTTTCAGGTGGGCAAAGGAGGTGAGGACTTGCCCACCCACAGAGAGTTCCACTGCAGAGGCAGCCCAGGTGACTTCAGCCTGTGTTGAGGAGCAGGCAATGTGCATCCTGGACAAGGCAGGCTCCACACAGGGGCTCCAGGGTACACATGGACTCACTGCATTAGGAGCTGGGTCCTGGTGGTGCAGTCCTGGGGCTACAGGTGACTGGCCCTCTTGCTGCCTTCCAGGTGGACCAGAGGGTGCTCCAGGACCTCCTCTCGGAAAAGCTGCCACGGTTGATGGCCCACCTGGGGCAGCACCATGTGAACCTCTCCCTAATCACCTTCAACTGGTTCCTCGTGGTCTTTGCAGACAGTCTCATCAGTGACATTCTCCTGCGGGTCTGGGATGCATTCCTGTATGAGGGAACCAAGGTAGGGTGCTGCTGGGCCCTCACCAGTCCCTTTACCACTCTGGGAATTGGTTCTACCCCTGGAGAGTGGGAAGATAATATTCATCTGGCGGGGCTGTTGGGGACATCTGATGGCATGCTTTGTAAACTGAAAAGTAGGGTGCACATATGAGAGGAAGTGGTGCCTCTGCCTCTGAAGATAGGCCCTAGGGTTGGAGGCCCTGGAATGGCATCCACTGCCCACATCACTCAGGCCCCTCCTTCTCTTCCTCCTCTTTGGACTAACCCATGCTTTAGGAAGCTGGAGCTTGGGTCTAGGCAGGTCCCATCATCAAACCCCCATGGAAAGAAAGTTTTAACCCCACTGGGTCCAACAGGACCTTGCCTTGTCTCACCTCCCCATGGAAGATGCCCAGGGGTATAGCTGGGACTCAACCTAAACCCCTTGATTTTAAGCTGTGCCCCCTTTAGGGTCTTTGGCCTCCCCCCAGCCCCTGTGGCCTTCCCCACATGTCTGCCTTCAGTGCCTCCAGGCCTCACTGCCTACCCCCTCCCTAATGTGTCCTGCCTGAATCCCCACCATGCCCACGCCCCCAGGTGGTGTTCCGCTATGCTCTGGCCATTTTCAAGTACAATGAGGAACCAATCCTGCAGCTGCAAGACAGCCTGGAGATCTATCAGTACCTGCGCTTCTTCACCAAGACCATTTGTGACAGCCGGTGAGCCCTCCCACCCCCACCCCTGCCCTGGCTGTCTGGGACCTAGGAGACCCCAGTAGTGACTGATTTTCCGGGCACTTTCAGTTTTCTGCCACCCTCCCCTACCCTGATACTCCTAGCCTGGAAGCTGGACTGAGTTCCTAGAATAAGCCCCGTGAGGCTTTTACCCTCACTGTGTCTTCTGCTTACAATGCTTCCTTACTATCTCCTCCAGCATCATCATCTTTGCCTGATTGGCATTAGTCACTTTTCAAAAACCCAGCTCCCATGTCACCTCCTCCAGGAAGCCTTCCCTGACCAGCCCATCCCCCTGGGCTAGGTGCCCCTGAGAGCTTCCTCCTTCCTTGGTGCACACTTCTCTGGGTGAAAATGGTCTTAGTTGTTTCCTCCCTGAGCATAAGGCCTAGGGACTAGGCTCAGCTCAGCCCCACGGTGGACAGCTGTCTGGAAAGGGCAGAAAATGCAGGCCTGACAAGACCCTGTGTTCTGGGCTGACTGTGCCCTCTTCCAGGAAGCTGATGAACATCGCCTTCAACGATATGAACCCCTTTCCCATGAAACAGCTGCGGCAGATGCGGATGGCCCACTGGGAGAGGTTGGAGGCTGAGCTTCGGGAACTGGAGCTGCTAAAGGCCAAGTACCTGGAGAAGCAGGCATCCCGGGGTGACACAAGGCCTGAGGGTGGTGCCAGCGAGGATGAAGGGGAAGGTGATGTCTGACCTGGCCGGTCCCCTCCCCAAAGCCTTTCTCACCCCTGGGAGTTGTTCAGAGCCCATTTCCATGTGGCCCTGGATAAGTCCCTTCTCTCCCCAGGCCTTGGTCTCCTGAGCAGGATATTATGGTGAAGCCATTGGTTGGGTTACCTCTCAAAGGGCACTGACTCGGATGCCACCCTGCCTCCCCTCTCCACAGAGCACTGTAACATTCTCTAAGTTACATCTATATAAAGCAGTGTCAGTACTGGAAATCACTCACCAGCTTTGGGACTTAAATGGTTCTCAGTTATGAGCTGTTCCTGGATGGGGCCAAGGTGCCAGGTGTGCCGCCACAGAGACCTTCTTGCTCAGGCCTCTGGCTCCCATTCTGGGTGTGTGCAGGGCCAATCTCCTCCTGGCTCCCTTGGAGATGGGTCCTGAGAGGTCAGGGTCACAGCTCCCTTCCAGGCTGACGTGGTCTGCATCCCCGTGTACCAGGGTCTGTTTCCTGCCCTTGTGCCACTATGCACCTTTCTGCTCACAGCCCATCCTGGGGAGTTCCCAGAGAAAACCCCTGCCTACCACTGCAAGGAACGTAAAGTGGCGGTTGGACAAGGAGCCCCAGGTCAGGTGCCCCACTTTTGACCTGGCACTGGCTGGAATAAGCAGGGTTAGCTCCCTTCTGCAAATCAGGCAGCTGAGAGGAGGCACTGGAAGTGGCTAGCACAGCGGCCCAATTTAGGGCTGAGCTCAGGGCTTAGTGACTGGCCCCTCATCCCCAGCTCAGGCAGGGCTGCACAAGTGGATTTGATGGCTCATTTCTCAGTAAACATCGGGGGGCAGTTTGAGTTAGGCTGTCTTGGGCGTGATACATGGTGTGGGGTCTCCTATGGAGCCCTCCTCTCTGGAAGCCACCCTGGAGCCCGAAAAACTGCCCTCCATCCTCCCAGCCTTGAACTGAGGCCCCTGGTAGAGGGTAGGGGAATCCCCATCACCAGGGACTAGGCATAGACCCTTTGGCAGCCTCTCCTGACACCCAAAAGGCATGAACTGGAAGGGTGGTGCCCCCATACTGTGTAGCCCTGGCAGGATGATTACAGCTCCTTCCCCTCCCACACACCCATGCAGCCCTGGGGCCCAGGCTTCCCTGTGAATGCCCCGAACCCACCTCGACTGCCTTCATTTTTGCTAAACTTCTGCATCTGCCCAGGCCCTTTCACTGCCAGTTTCCATGAAGTGTCATGCTGGTAGGAGAGTGGCCTGGGGGTCCTGGCTGCACCAAATGGGCTAGGTACTAACCCTGAGGTCAGCTAGCCTCGTAGGGCATGCAGGACGGTGAAAGGAGATGATGCTGGCCCAGCACAGGGTGACAAACATCCAACAGCAGCAAGCTGCCTCCTAGGAAGGCCCAGGTAGTCCTTCTGACTCCAGCCTGAAATTCTAACAAAAGCAAAACCTGAGCCAGATGCAGTGGTGCATGCCTGTAATCCTGGCTACTTGACAGGCTGAGGCAGGAGGAGCTCAAGTTCAAGGCCAGCCTGGGTGGTGCAGAGACTGCCTCTCAAAAAACAAACAGCTCAGGTAGTGGGCCCAGGGGCTGCCGGATAAAGGTACCCCCCTCTCCCTCCTCAGCATCCTTCCTTGCCCCTCCCACCTGTTTCCTCTCCTTCCTACCTCTCCTCTCCTCCATCCCTCTTCTTTCCTCTTTCCCCATTGTCTCCCTACCTTCTCTTTCCTTTCTCCCTTCTTCCTCCTCTCCACTCCTCTGGTTCCTACCTGGCTATACCTTAAAATCCTGAGTAGCTTTGTAAAAGTATTGGTGCTGGGCCCTGTGCTCCTGGGCACTCTGACATGCTGGCAGGACAGTTAGGACTAACTCCCTCCTCCAGGCCTGAAGGGGGGAGCTGGCAATGAGAATGGCCCATCCTGCAGCCCCCACCTGCCCACCACTCAAGTAAGGTGCCTGATAGGAGACAACAGAGAAATTAACCTGTGAGAGTCATAGCCATGACTGGCAGAGCCAAGCTTGAGGGGAGAGGCCCCGAGCGCACCATGCCCTCTCAAGAACCTGGACACCTCCCAGGGGAAAGGGCTGCCCAGCTTGTGGCCTCTCATGGGGACACTCGTGGGGATAGCTCTAGGCAAAGGAAAACGGAGGAAGAAAGACCTTGCAATTTGTTGCCTCAGGCTGGAATTGGAACTCTGCTCCCTTCATCAGAGATGAACAAGGGGAGTGGGGCGCCATCTTTCAGGAAGGATGTGGCAAGGACAGGGGGCCCCACCCCAGCTGCTGCTGCTCCCAGGGAGCATGCCCACCCTCCCCCTGCCCTTCCTGGAGGGTGTCTGGGGCCCACCGTGGTGTCAGGTTGCTGCCCCACACCACAGCTGTCTCCCCTTCCCCAGGGGCTGCTGCCTTTCAGGCTGGAGGATCTGATCCCCTACAGCCCCACCTTCCTATCTCAGGGATGGGCCTTGTTTCCCAAGCATACCCCCACCAGACCCTAGGGCCCAGCAACTGGGGTACAGGTGAATTCTATAGGTAAGAGACAGAAAGGGTAACATGTCAGAATAAAGAAAAGAAAGGAAGGGCCAAGAGGACTCTGGAAGATCCCCCACACACCCCAAAGTGGGAAGTACACACTGGCTTCCACAGATGCCCACGTTCAAGACTTCCATCCCCTAGACACCCCTATCCCATGCTGTCTGTTTGTTCCTTTCTAGCTCCCTCCCCATGTACACGAGGCTACACTGCACAGAGAGATACACACACACACACACACACAGCTGTGCTGATCCCAGACCAGTCAAGGCAATCAGACAAAGCTTGCCATTCTGAGGCTGATGCCCTGGGAAGGAGAGGAGGGCACTGGAGAGTGCTGGCAGGTTTGGAGCCAGACATGCTGTATGGAGTTCTCACTGGGCCCTGAGCAGGTCAGGGACAGGGACCCACTGGGGCCACAGTTTCCCCATGGGCAGAGGTGGCCTTCCACATTTGGACCAGGACTAGGGAGAGGGAAGTGACAGAAAAGCAACCCCCACGCATACATACACCTCCCCACAGTGACCCCAGGGTGGGTCCAAGGTGGTATCTGTGCCTTATGGGTCCATATGCCCACAGTCCCCAGAGATCCTTGTCAAACCAGCTTTTCCCCAAACAGTACTGGCCACAGCACAAGCTGGGAAGGTGTACATGCAAGGAGGGGACCACAGGGGATCTGGGACCCTGGGCCTGGCTTAGATGAGCAGATGACGATGTGGTTGGTGTAGGAGAGGCTCAGGCCAAGACCTGTGTGGGTCAAGATTCAGGTGCCTTGGCCTGGGAGAGGTTCTGGCACCTCCCACCTGCCCCAGGTAAAACTCAAGTAAAAACAATGTGCCACCAAGAGAGAAAGGAATCCCCACCTCATTCCAGCTGTGTCCATACACTGTTTTGAAACTTCAAATGTCCAACTCTTGCATGCTGGTACCCAGGTGTACACTGGCTACCTTCCTGTAGTCCAGCCTGCTCAGTGCTCAAGGAGGAGGGGAGGGTCATGCTGGACACTGGGCCAGAAGGAGGACCCCTTCACCTCTGGGCAGGGGAATTGCCCAGTGAACTAAATTCAAAGCCTGAGTTGCAGGTTTTGGCCTTGGCAGTTCGGAGATCATCCAGAGACCCCAAGTATTCAGCCAATCTGAATTTCTATTTTCTTATATATGAAAGGGAGGTAACAATAATAGCTAGATAAAAGGTTTCATAGGATCAAATGTAACATATGAAAAGTAGTGCACAGTATTCTGATTCATCCAACCACAGATTGGGAGCCCACCATGTCCCAGGCACTGTTCTAGGCCCTCACAGATACACCACTGCACAAAACCGGGGTGGGGGGCTCAGGCTATGAGCTTGAGCTGGGGAGCTGCCGCCTGAATTACTACTGGCTGTGTACTTCTCTATGCCTTAACTTCCTTATATGTAAAATTGATGAGTAATAACATCAGCCTCCCAGCCTGTGCGACAGCGAAGTGAAGTAAGACACACAAGGTGCTCAGAACGATGCCTGGCTCAGTAGGTGTTAGGTGGAGGTAATAAAAGTCAAGGTCTCCCATTCTCCCTCTACCAAGCCTTGGCTCGGAGACCAGGCAGCAGCGCCCCCTCCTGGGTACCTCCGCGGCTCCTTTCCTCCAGGGCCCTGGGAAACCCCAGTGGCCCCTTCTGATCCCCCAGATGTGAGGCGCGCTTCCCTAGCCAGATTTCCGCGCGCCCGGCACCTGCTGTGATCTTTGATCCAGTCCTCAAACAGCATTTGAGGCAGACGCGATTACCGTCTGCATTTGACCAGAGAAACTAAGGCTCCGGAAGGTCGAGTCCCTTGTCCCACGACACGCACCAAGGTTACGGCAGGACGTGAAGCCGGGTGGGCCTCAAGGTCTCAGTCTCTAAGCCACCGCCACAAATCAGTGCGTCGTGCGCGCGCCGGCATGCGCGCCAAAATACCGGCCCCCGGGCCAGGAGCGCGCGCCGGGCGGAGGGAGTGAGGGCCCCTGCCGGCGCGTGGGAGGCGGGGCCTGGCCCGACATCCCCGCCCTCGCCCGGGCCCCACCCTCCGGTCCCGCCTGCCGGGCTGTGGGGAGGCGGCGGCAGTGGGCGCGGTGACTCGGCGGGCGGCGCGGAGCTGGAGCCGGACGCCGCCGCCACCTGCGCGGCGGTCAGCAAGGTAGGGCGGCCCGCGCCATCCGCAGCGCCTTCGCGGGTTGCGAGATGGGCGTCGGGCGGGACGTGCGCGCTGCACCTCCGGGCTGCAGTTCCCAGAGAGGGAGGGATGCTGGTTCCCTGCGCCGCAGGGCACCCGGCGAGCGCGGAGATCTGGCTTCCAGCCTCCCCGCATGACCTTGCACAAAGCCTTGCTCCTCTGTGGGCCTCAGTTTCCCCATTGGGATAGCGGGTGCAATGCAGCCCCCTCTGCACAATGCTGGGAGCGGCCGCTGCAAGGTGCGGGCTCCCGATGGCTCGGGCCGGATGGGCTCTGTGTGCAAGCCCGCCCCTCCCGCCTGCGGTGAGGCGGCTCGCCCTGGGCGCGGCCAGCCGGCCCAGACAGGCCCCTGGTGTGCCCGGGTGCCCGTGTCCCGACCCTCCCTCTCTTGGCTGGGTGACCGGCTGGGCCTCAGCTGCCCTGTACGGGAACCTGTGGTGGGAGAAGAGGCATCCCCAGGTCCCTCCCGAGCCCACCTGGTCTGGGTGGCAGGCAGACTCTACCCACCAAGACCGGCCTTGTCGGCTGGACTGGAGTGGACT